ACAGCATGCTTTCCTTCCACCACCAATTACGCATATTCAGAGTCATCCTGGCATACCCATTCACACTCGCTCCATATATCCAATCTTGTGCCAGACCTTGCCATTTCCATCTTCACAACACCTTTCCTATATGTCCCCTTCTCTCCAATCAGACAGCAATCCCCCCGTTAGGCCCTCATCCATCCGTCTGTGCCTGGATTATTGTAATGGTCTCCTAACTGGTCTCCCTGACTCGTCTCCCCCTCCAACCCATCCTGCACACAGTCACCAAAGAGATTTTCCTAGAACGTGTCAAACTCCCCACCTCTTTTTAATAAACTCCACTGATCCCTGACTACTTCCAGGACCAAATATTATAAACTCCTCTGTTTGCTGCTTTTAAAGCTCTTCACAATCTGATCCTATCCTACCTTTCCAACCTTACTACAGACCAACTTCCCCCCAGGCACTCGATAGCCATCATGCACAATACCTTATCTCCCATTTCCATGCTTTTGCACTGGCAGCCCCATGTCGATAATGCCCTCCCTCCTCACCTCCATCTCTTATTTTCTTTCAAGACTCAACTCAAGTGTCAGCTTATGCATGAAGCCTTTTCTAGCTCCCCATCTTCTAGCTCCTTCCCCTAACCAGGTTACACTCTACCTCGTTTAGATATAGTCATATAAGTACATGTCACTGCCTCCATTTTCTAACAAATAAGCTCTTTGAAAGCAAGGACAATATCACATCTGTCTTTATATCCCAGCATAGGCCTGGCAGATAGTACATGCCTAATAAATGCTCAGTAGTGGTATGACTGATGGTTCTGGACCCTACCTCCCAAAACAGCTGATTGGTATGTGTTTGGGGAATGTGAAATAATTTAATATTAGCTTAATCAAAACTCAATTTTCAATTTGCTATAGAAAAGGTCATCTTGCTTTCTAAAAGTCAAGTAGTTGGTAAATGCCCTCTACATTAGCCACTGTTTGGTTTCCTATGGCTCTATTTCCCATCATTTGCAAAGATAGCTGAGATTTTAATTTTAATTTGTGAGATTAATTGTAATCTTCGGGGTCACCATCCCAGAATAAAGGGATTTCAGAACTGAAAGGCACCACTGAGGCTATCCAGCCTAACGCCCACCTCAGTACAAATCTCCACTGCCAGATCCCTAAGAAGTGGCCATTCACTCAATCTTTGTTTGAAGACCTCTAGTGAAGGAGAATCAACTCTTGCCATATTTTCTTTGATTATTCAATAATACGTACTTTGGATGTTATGTCTATAAAAAAAATTTAAAAGGTCATCTATCATGTGTTAGAGATCATAACATGTTGTGATGGAAAGAACAACAGCCAAGAACTTAGGGCACTTGAGTTCTAGTTCTGCCTCTCATGCTAATTCATTATACAATCTTGGACAAATCACCTAAACTCCAATGGACTCTGGTTTCTCAGCTATACAATGACAGTTGAACTAGATGCTTTCTCAAAGTCTTTTCAGCTCTATGGCACTAGGAAAGACTCCAATGAGGAAAAAATGAGGCAGCATCTTTTTTTTTCAGAATGTGGTTGCACAGGGAGCTCTCTGATGGTCTCAGGTCTAAAACAGAAATGTCAAAAAGCTGGAAAGAGAAACACAGAACTAAGGCTGGCCTAGAAGATTCTGCATATTCTTGTATCCTTCCAAGTGACTGTATCTATGAGGTGTAAGGATATTTTAAAGATAAAACTCATGAAATGGAAGGAAAAGGGTAACACTTTTTGAAGATTTTCCAGCCATGCTTCAAATAGTTGGTCCTAGATTTCTCAATGAACAGTGGCAACCTAGAGTTTAATGCTATTCTCTTGTGATATTCTGTTCAGTGTTACATACATCTCTAGGTCTATCATTCCATAAGGTACAGAGGAAAAAAGGCATCAAAATACACCCATAGACAAATCCCTTCCTTTCTCCAGGGTCAGATTTTCCTCATCTGAAAAATGAGGGGTGGGATGGGACAGGACTTGATAGTCTTCTCCATTCCTGATGTTCTGAGTCCATGAATGTTTCAGAAGGCTTAGTTTCCAATCAGCCTAAGCCACTCAGACTTTATTCCCTTGCATTGATGAAGGGAAACATCTGACAACACTTAGAAAGACTCCAATGAGAATTATGCTCTTCTGTGAGCACACTGGATTATTTGCTAAAACCCAGGTGTGGTCTCCAGAGTCAAGACAGATAATCTAGCCTATTTGTGGAAGGAGCATAATCTTCCACATTTCCTGCAAAGAATACATTTGGGGTTTTATTGCCAGACTAGAAACAGCTTCAGTCCTGACTATCCTAGCCCATAAAAGTTAGTTTCTCCTGAATTCTTAAACGCTATGGTGTCACATATGACTGTACTGTCCCAGTAATCTTAACATATAATAACAATATAATAACAACTGCCATATGTATAATACTTTATATATGTTATCCCATTTAAACCTCACAACACCCTTGGGAGGTAGGTGCTCCTATAATTCCCATTTTACAGAGAAGAAAACTGAGCCTTGGAGTGTCTAAGTGACTGAGCAGGATTCAAACTTAGATTTTTTTCCTGACTCCAAGCCTTGTGCCACTCCATGCTGTCTCATATGACTCATGACTAGAGAGGCAGTGTTGTACAGTGGCTAGAGTACTGAACCTGGAATCAGGAAACCTAAGTTTGAACCCTGACTCAGGTGTTTCATATCTCTTGTTAGTGTACAATTGTTTACATGTTGTCTCCCCTATCCAATTATGAGCTCCTTGAGAGTAGAGACTATTTTTACCTTTCTTTGTATCCCCAGCACCTAACATGTTACTCAAATTCTCATAACCTCAGTTTCTTCCTCTATAACATGGAGATAATCGTATTCATCTTACATCCCTCATGGGGTTATTGTAAAGAATAGAACTCTGCAAACCTTAAAACACTCTGGAAATGGAACTTATTAGCTATTAACATTAATATCGTCAATAATATTAGCAGTAATATTAATACTACTAATAATAAATGTAGTCTATGAGTTCTCCTAAGACAAAGACACAGCTGAATACAAATTTTTTCATTTTTTTGTTCAGAGAAGTTTTTCCCAGAACTTTGGGCAGGGGCATCTGTTTGGACAAGTCATCTGTCGTGAACCATCCCTCTGATGCCCTTGAAGAACAAGCTAAGTAGGTACTCAAATGTTCCTCAGCCTTCTCTCTCTCCCAGGTGCTGAAATGGAAACACGTATGCCCCAGTATTGAGCCTGCCTTGGCTTGAGGGAGAAATAAGATCAATAAGGTTGCTGACCTCTTCACTGTCCAAATAGGCTACTTCTAGATTTACAGTCATATTTGTGTCTTATTGCTGCCAAGAGATAGCATAGTATAGTGGATAAAGCCCTGAGCTTGGAGCCAAGAAGAATTGGATTTGGATCCCGCCTCTGGCTAATTAGTTGTGTGTCCTTGGGCAAACTCATAACCTCTAAATGCCTCAGGCCACTCCCTAAGACTTATCTGAGATCCTTTCCAGCTCTAGATTTATTCCTACCTACCAAGTGATAGATGGGCAGTGGTCTGAATTAGTGGAGAGAGTTCCCGACAACAGATCCTCACACTTGAAAAACAACATGTTTGGACTCCTCCCCACAAAAACAAAAAATCAGCATGATGTACTGGTCAAATAGAGATAGCAAAGAATAAAAGATGGACAACCCTTACATTCTCCTGACATTAAGGGTATTTCCAAGTCATTTCAAACCAGACAGTTAGAACTGATTGTTCAGTTTTCAGTGTGAGCATTTACACCTTGGAAATTGGCAAATGCTGCAAATTGGGGCTTGATTTATTGTTTTACTAATTGTCTAGATGTAAGAAAGTGATGGAGAAAACATTAATAATGCAGGTTAAATTAAAAGTGTGTCTGGTGTACTTTTTTTCAGAGCTAATTGTTAAACATTTACCAGCACATCGCTGATATCCTCACAATGACCAGAGAAAGCAAAGGAGTCATAGTATATTGATTAGAGAATTTATGGAAGGATGTAGAAAAGAGATGTCCAAGATGGTGAGGCAATGGATAAATTTGTATCACTTGTGTAATTCAAGGGAATATTCCCATTTTGAAGTGGTCACAGAAACACTGTACATACTTTGAATGTAGCATCCTCCACTTAACCAGTGAACAAACATTTGTTGTTTGCCTACTATGTGCCAGACACTATGCAAGGCAATGGGCATAGAATGACAAAAAAGAAACAATACTTTCCACCAAGGAAGCTTCATTGTGACTGGTGTCCATTGGAGGTTAAATCAAGGCCACCCATGAGCCAGGAATTAGACAAAATCATGTTTTCCTTAAGAGTATACCACCTGAGAAAGCAATGACTCTGGGCTTCAGGTATTGAAATCATCACTTTCTAAAAATTAGTCCCTGATAGGGTAGCATCTAGATCTCAAGGGAGCATGTATCCTTCCTCTTCAGGTGGTTTAAAGGTTCTGCACAAATAGTTCTGGACAGCCAGTTTGCAAAGCCAGGAGACCTAAATCAGTTGCCTTAGAATGTGCAGGAAACCCTTCCTCTGTCCTGGATCTCCCCACTCATACCCAGAAACTCTCTCACAGCAACTCTTGCCAGAGAGGCTGAGGACAAGGATACTTCCATAAAGAACAAGATGACGGATTAGAGGCTTGTGGTTATCCTATCATTCCTTTATGGCTATCAGAAAGGTCCTAATTCCATTGCCTCTGATAGACGATAATAAATTATTCAGCCTGACTTGAAGGCAAAACGTGATGATTTACACGTAAGGCCTTGTGCAATCCTCAGAGAACTACAGTTTGTGTTTCTTTTCTTTAAAGCACTAAGATACTTACCTACTTCTGTTAATCATCTCCCTGTCACTAACAGTGAAGCACAAGGCTTTGGGAGCCCAAATTATCCACAAGAAGTATGTACATGCTGCCTGTACCCTCATCCCCTCTCCCCTCAGGCCACAGAAATACATTCCTGGAAGACTTACTTTGTGTCAGTAGGCTGGATTTTGTTGAAACAACGGTGCATTGTGTGGTAGAGGAGGCCGACGATGGTAGTCCAGGCTGAGAAAGAGCAAAGTGACCAAGAGTTAGCCTTTAAGGGGATGAATGGGAGGAAGGCATGACATGCACTGAAAAGGTCCCAGACTCACTAATTAAATAGCAGGGCCCTTCACACATCTTCCTCGTGAAGGGTGAGTTCACATGAAGATACACAAAGGAAGACCAGAGCCTATAGGAAAGCCTGGAGGTGGGCAGTGAATTAAAATTGCAATCCAGACTAGTGACTCAGCACTGCTTAGAGCTCAATGGTGGGATTAGTCATGGACCTGTTACATTGGCCTGCCCAGGATAGTGTGTTGGCTATGGGATCAAGCAGAACACATCAGAGGTTTGATCCTGACTTGCCCAGGGTCCCGAAGCTAGTAAGAGTCTGAGACTACCTGCTCTTGCAATCTTTAGCTGACTTTTTAAAGCCCCTCCCTCTGCTAAGAGGATATGTGTGTGTGTGTGTGTACATGTGTGTGCATGCGCGCAAGCACACGTGTATACACCTACATTTCTATCTATATGAATTTTCATTTCTATTATTTACTTGCTGTCCAAATATGGAGTATTTATAGTTCTTCAAGCTTGTGAGCAAAGAGACAGATGCAAGTTTTACAAGTAGCATCCAGCCTGCAAATATCCTTTATGGTTTCCACTAGATTCCAACTCTTCCTAATATTACTCTTTGAAAAGTGAAATAATATCTTGCCGATGGTTTAGCAGAGGTCAGTCAGAGGGACAAGCCCTTGATTGGCTCTGGGCATTTTTTTCTTTGCTTTGACTTGGGCCTCATGGTAAAGTTTTGGGAAGCAGGCCAGGTCCTTCAAGCTATCATAAGTTCATTCTTCATGTGGATAACCATCTAAGAACAAGTTCCATACATAACAGAAAGTCAAGAGGGGCACGAGGAGGAAAGGAAAAAAAGAGGAATCTTTCACAAGCTATTTTCAACATTTCCCAAAACCCATTTCCATACGATCTCAATTATTCCCCTTTCACAGCACATGTGACAGTCACAGGCCTGAGCCCCCCCTTCCAGTTCAGGGGAGCTCAGCCATCAGAATAAGTCAGGTAGGCAGCATGTGGTGGAGAAACCCCCTGATCACTGTTGGGCCACGATGCCCGTTAGTCTTCTTTATGGAGAGTGGAAGCTTGGCAAACAGCAAAGACTCTGTGTGTCTGTGTGTCTGTCTGTCTGTGTGTCTGTCTGAGTGTGTATTGAGCTGAGCTACAGAGGCGTTCGTTCATGGTCTCTCTTCTTAGCTTCATCTCATGGGCTGGATCTCCATAAACATGCTTTTAATATCCCACGTAATCTGCAGAATGCCTTTCAGGCTCCAGAGAACAATGACCATAGGAAGAATGACAGATGGTGGAGAGGCTAAGGGGCCAGATTGAAGTCAGGTGGACCTTGGTTCAGCTTGGCCTCTGATAATTGCTAGGTATGGAACCTGGCATAACTTGTCTCTCTGAGTTTCAGTTTTGTTCTGTTTTTTTCATCTGTTAAATGAAAGAGTTGGATGACATGACCTCAAAGGTCCTTCCCAGATCTAAATCAGATAGAGAACCTCAAAGCCAAGAAGACTTGGGTTCAAATCCCACCTCAGACACATACTTGCATCATCTGACTTCTCATTGGTTTAGAAATTTCTCTTGTAAGTTTCAGAGAAGGTACCACCATGAATTGGAACATGAAGGGGTATACCACTGAAGTCCCAGTCCATTCCCTATTATTTTGATCCTATATAAGATAGAATACTTGATTTAGAACCAGGAAGACCTAGTTTCAAAATCTGCCCCTAACATGTACTAGCAGATTCTATCACCTGTCTGAGCCTCACTCACTTTTCTCATCAGTAAAATGGAGATGATGATAAGGAAGCCAAGAGGTGAAAGTGACTTTCCCAAGTTCATACAGGTTGTAACTGTCAAAGCCTAGATTCAGATTCCCAAAGCAGCAGGCTTTCCACTATACTACATAAGCCAATTCTCCCTCATAAAGTAGACAGGGGCAGGATTATTTTTCACCCCCTTACTGAGAAGAAAACTGAGACAAAGAAATTAGGTGGTTTGACTAAGGTCACACAATTATTTACTATTAATCAGCATGCCGGTTTTCTGCTTCCTCATACCCTTTCCATGATAAAAGAGATATCATCAAAAGGACCCCAGTTGGCATTAGGAAAAATAACATGTCATTAGCATTTTGATCATTACAGAATTTCTCTCAGTTCTTGGAAGCAGTTTCCCTGGAGGCCCAGGGAAGTTTGACAATGTGTAGCCTCTTCCTTTCAGATGAGGGCAAAAAGAAGAGATGGAAAGTCTTTGAGTCTGCCCAGCTATGGCTTTCCTCATGCAGTCATGACTTACCTTTGCTATGGAAGGCCTCCCGAGGAATTTCAATGTAGCTCTGTCCCTGGGTGGGAAAGCGGTAGTGATGAGATGTCATCGTCGCTGGGGGCACTTTGGCCAATGAATACTCTGCAAGCACAAATCAGCCAAGAGGAAGATAAAAATCAATAACCTTTACTGCCTGATTCCCCCATAAAGTGAAGTTTGCTTTCTCAACAGCTACTGTAAATCTCGATTGTAAAACCCCAGCTGTTTTGTGAGGAAATAGAATGATCTCCCTGGAGAGGACGATTACCTTTGGAAGATGACTCCTTTAAGGAAAAAAGATGTGGGGGAGACATTTTGAAGCAGGTCACTTAACAGTGTGCCTGCAGAAGACTAACTAGGGTGTCACAGAGACCCCAAAGTGATCACAACAGTCTTTGCTCTTAGGAGTCATTGTAAAGTTCAGAATGGCCCATTTGGGATGCTGCCGAGGGCAGTTTGCACCCTCCCACTGGCAGCTTACAGAAGATTCATAGTGTCTGCTCCTTTCTGGGCTCCCAGAGAGACCAGAATAAGAGATAAGAGAACAATGACTAACAGGAGATGGAGGAGGGGTCATTTACTCATTGGCCACATAAATAATTGCATTAATATAAAAATATTGAGAGACAAACAGCTATTGAAACTGAGTCATGGAACAATTAACCTTATGTTGTACCCATTATCCCCAGTCATAAGGAGAGGGGCCTGAGACAGAATGTCCCTCTCTAGGGAGATAGAGATCTTTAAAATAGAAAGGCAATAGTGTATCTGGTTTTATTTGACTATTCCTTTAGAAAAAGAGATTGCCACTGAACAGTTCCAGCTGATTCTATGAAATCTTGTTCTCGACTCTTTTATTCTCAATTCCTTTATCCATCTCCAGGCACTGCTGCTTCTATTCTCTTGCTCTGAATGAAGAAGGTGGCTTCAATTAAGTGATTTCAGCTTCCACGGCTGCAGGAAAATGCTGACATGGGCCTGTTCATGCACCACTGACTTGAATACATCTGTCCTGTTTCTAGCCGTGTTTCCACAGAGCATCATTTCACACACAACAAGATAGCTTCAGAAAATCTTCTATAGGCTCCTAATTGTCCTCATTGTGGTATACTGGTAACCTTGGTTCTCAAAAGGCTAAGTGAGCTAATGGCATGATCCTGATCTAGCAGGTGCTATCAAGCTGAAAAAACTTGGACCCAGAAATAGACTGTCATCCAAAAACCAGCTTAACTAAATTTGGAGCAGTCCATTATCCAAACATGGGCTCCCAGGCCATGAAGTTGTTAGCTACAACTCCTGTTGACCAAGGTGTCCAAGGGCTAAGATCTACATGAGTAGAGACGGTATAGCAGCTAGGTGGTTCAGTGGATAGAGTGTTGGGCCTGGAGTCAGGAAGACTCATCTTCTTGAGTTCAAATCTGGCTTCAGACACTTACTAGCTATGTGATCCTGGGCAAGTCATTTAACCCCATTTGCCTCAGTTTCCTCAGCTGTAAAATGAGCTGGAGAAGGAAATGGCAAACCACTCCAATATTTTTGCCAAGAAAATCCCAAAATGGGTTCAAGAAGAGTCAGACATGATACTGAGTGAAGTGAGCAGAACCAAGAGAACGGTGTACACAATAACAGCCACATTGTATGATGACTAATATTGATAAACTTAACCCTTCCTGGAAATACAAGGATCTAAGACATCTCCAGAAACCTTGTGATAGAAAATGCTATCCACACCTAAAGAAAGAACTATGGAAGCCAAATTGCTATTTTTTTCCCTCTTCTGTTGAGTTTTCTTTCCTCTTTCTGATGGTTCCTCCTGTTGATTTTAATTTCTACTTACAACATCACTAATGTGAAAATATGTTTAATGTGAATGTAAATGTATAGCCTATATGACATTGTGTGCCATCTTGGGGAGGGTGGTGGAGAGGAAAGGGGAGAAAAATTTTAAACTCAAAAGCATATGGAAGTGATTATTGATAAATCAAAAAAAATTAATAAAAAATTTTAAAAAGAAGAGTCAGACACAAAAGAAAAATGACTGAACAACAATTTGTGTGTGTGTGTGTGTGTGTGTATGTGTGTGTTCCCACTCCTCCTTTGCAATTAGAATGGAAGCTCTATAAAGGCAGGAACTTTATTTGCCTCTTTTTTTAATTCCTTAACCTGGAACATAGTAGGTGCTTAATAAATGTTTATTGACTGATCAATTGGAGGACTAGGTAGCTTCTAAGGTCCTTTCCAGCTGGGACAGTCTGTGATTTTATGTCTTGATAAATGTTTATTGATCGGGAGGAGTGAAGCTGGGACTGACATCCATCTTTATACCCCTCCAGATTTCCATCCTGCACTATTAAACCATCCCCATTCCAGACCTTATACCAACACTAAATGCTGGTGTCAGACCCTCTTTACCTGCTACCGAAGATGAGCCTTGGATGGTAACAGCCATTTTGTACATCTGCAGGTTGTAAGCTATGTGCCACAGAACTTTGTCCACAGTGTCAATCAAACTCACCCCGAAAGAAGGTTTCTGGGGAAAAAGAAAATGGGAGATTGATGAACAACAGCACCATTTAAAAATCACATTGGATAGGGAAACGTTATGCCGAGAAGAAAGTGGACTTAATTGCATGAAACCTTCCACTGAGATCAGCTTGGATTCTCCATAATAAGAGGAATGGAAAATGTGCTGGTCTTGACGCAAGAGAGCTGAGTTCTGATCTTGCCTCTTGCTTGTTAGCCATGTGATCATGGGCAAATTGTTTAACCTTTCAGAGCTTCATTTCCTTCATCTGTAAAACCAACCTCTTGGGTTTAAGAGCAAGGCATACCTTTTGTTGGTGTTTAGATGATTCAGTCCTGTCTGACTCTCCATGAGGAAACTAAGGCACACAGGGTTAAGTGACTTGCCCAGGGTCACACAGCTGCTAAGTGTCTGAGGCCAGATTTGAACTCAGGAAAGTGAGTCTTCCTGATTTCAGGCCCAGTGCTCTATCCATTGCAACACTGATCTGCCCATGCATGCCTATAAAGAGCTGTATAAATGTGACTTTACTATTCAATAAACATTTCTTAAGGACTCATTATGGGCTATAAACTAGGCTAGATGGTGGAAATTAAAAACTAAATAAGTAAACAAATTAAAAACCCAGTCTCTGCCCTCAGGAAGTTTGTTTTCTTTATTGTTGTAAAGAGGCCAACCAGGTAGGAAAAGAAGTCATTTTCTTTCTTTTTTTGCAAGGCAATTAGGGTTAAGTGACTTGTCCAGGGTCACACAACTAGTAAGTGCCAAGTGTCTGAGGCTGGATTTGAACTCAGGTCCTCCTGACTCCAGGTCCAGTGCTCTATCCACTGAGCCACCTAGCTGCCCCAAAAGATTTTCATTCATTGATCAATAGCTGAGAATACAGCCTAGCTGACAATATTCTAAATTTCAACAGCATGTCTAAGTTTATTTAAAAAGAAGGCATGCATGCACACACACACACACACACACACACACACACACACTATTTCTCTTATGGATTTTTTAAATTTCTAACAGAACTTTAAGGCCAGAAAGGACTTTGGAGGTCACTGACTCTAGCCCCTTCAATTTATACCTCAGAGGGTCACAAATTTAGAAGTGGAAGGAACAGTAAGTGTAACATCCAGTCCAATCTTTTCATTTTACAGATGGAGAAACTGAGGAACAAAAAGGAAAAGTGACTTGCTCAGAGTCACACAGCTTTAGTGTCTGAGATGGAGAAACTGAGGCATAGGAAGATTGAATTGCATGTCCATGGTTACACAACTAACAAGTGGCAGAACTGGGCTTAGAATCTGGGTTCTCTGATCCCAGATCTGGTGATGTTTTCACTGACCACATAGTGGCATTTTCTCCTTGAAGAAGCCTGGATTAGCTCTGAACCCTTATCATTCACCTTAATGTAACATATGTCTCTTTCCAGGATTGTACTTTCATATTGTGAGACCCCTCATGACCCTCTGAGAAAGTATCGTTTGTTAATTGTCAAACAGGAAAAAAACTAATACAGAGGATCTGTCTCTTTTCTCAGTGACCTTCCACCCCAAAGAACGAGAGCTTCTAAGGTGGTATTTTGTAGGTTTGTAAGACTTAGAACTGGAAGATCTCAGAGATGCCCTGGGCAGTGGGTCAGGAGAACACTGGTTTAGAACTGAAAGGGACCTTTGAGGTCCTCCAATGCAACCCCCTCTTTTTATAGTAGGTCATCAGTCAGTTGATAAGCATGTGTTAAGCACCCAATGCGTCCAGGTGCTGTGCGAATAACTGGAGATTCAAAGAAAGATAAAAGAACTTAAGTGCAAAAAGAACAGAGAAGAAAACTGATGCCTTGAGAGGTTCAACGTCCTGTCCAAAGTCACACAGGTATTAAAGAACAGAGTCAAGATCTGAACCCGTATTCTCTGCCTCCAAACTCAGTGCTCTTTCCATTTCACCATTCTGCTTCTCAATCCAACGGCTTCATTTTAGAGGAAGAGATTGAGGTGGGGAGTGGGGAGGTTTGGGGGAAGAGTGGGGAGGCAACCACAGTCACCCAGAGAGTAGGCAGCAAGGTCAGTCTATGAACCCAAGAATTTTTACTTCAAATCCAATGCTGCTTACACAATACCACACTGATAGTGTTTACAACCAGTCAATGAATGTTGAATTCATGAATGTGAATGTTTATTCATAAAGCATGAATGTTTATTTATAAAGTGCCTACTATGGGGAGCAATTTTGGTGCCCATTGTAGCAACAAACCCTGGACAAGCAGCAGGAAAGTATCCTCCAATCAACTTTATAATTCATGATGTGATAATAATCCAAGAAATAATATAGATAAATTCAATTGAGCAATGTGGGGGATCAGCTATTAGATCTGTTATAATTTGTATCCTCTAAATGTTGATGCCCTGGGGACAATGTCCCAATTGCCTCACCCTAGTTCTGCCCTTGCATCCAATACCAATTTTCCTCCTCCTGGCTCAATTAGAACTCTAGCATCTATTGGCAGCCCAACTCCTCTAGAGCTCTCCCACAATTCAATTTCCCATGACACTCTAACAAGCTGGAAATAGAAAAGAGAGCTCAATTTTAGAAACCTTCTAGGCCCATTGCCTGATTTCCAATAGGCTCAGCATATAATGGTGCAATGTCTGGCATGCATTCCTTTTAGGTGATGACTGATTCATCCATTCTGTTCAACGCATACAGAGTAGGAGAAAGAAACATCTGAGCCAGGACATTTCCTGATTATTTATATTCTGCAGCAGAACATTTGTGATAAGTTCATTTAAAATTATATATAAAACACTACTTTTCAAGTCCTCCTTTTGGCAGGCCTTTAAATGTCTCTCCCATGCAGAAGGAAACCAGGAAACATACACTCTCCCATGCTCCCAATACACTGGGGCAACTCTTTCATGAATTCCATTTGCCTGGGTTCTGAACAAGAAATGTCTTTTCCACCCTTGTCTAATTTGGTTTCTCTAATTCACACAAGACATCCTCCCTCAATGGTGCACCATCTGTCCCCTGATTTCTTTAGCTCTTCCTCTCATTGCCAATATAAACCACAATGAGTTTTTTATGCTTGTTTTCCAAAAAAAATTAATTCATTTTCTGTACAAAAGACAAGTAACTACAAAGCAAACTATGAATTATTGGCTTCATTCCAGATTGCCTCTGATCTTTGTTGGGCTACAAATTGATGTGTTTGCATGGTAACCATCATAGGTAGAGCAGTGTAGCTATCTGACAGAAGGCTGGCCTCAGAGCCAGAAGACCTGGGTTCAAATCTTGCCACTGACACATACCAGCTGTGTGACCATAGCAAGTGCCCCAAGCAACATTCTAGCCCAGGGATTCTTCACTTTTGAGGGCCTCCTTTGGCAATCTAATGAAACCTATGGAGCTCCTCCAAATGTTTTCTTTAAATGCATAGGACTGTGAAGAAAACCAATTAGATTGAAATACAACTATCAAAATATTAAAAAAAAAAAAAAAAAGATCACAGACCCCAGGTTAAGAACCCCTGCCTTGAGACCATAAGTTACAAAAGAGTTGTTGATCTGCTGGTGATGGAAGGAATTTCCATACAGGAAGTCACTCACAATGATGCAATCACAGGTCAGCACCAAGAAGGAAAATTAGTGAGCAGCATAGTCAAACCCTCTATTGAAGGTGGAGGTAAACCTAGGTTCTCAAATATGCCCTAAGTGACCAAGCTCTAGAAGGCTCTTCCTTGTTGCTGTTCACTCATTTCAATAGTGTCTGACTCTCTGTGACCCCATTTTGGGATTTTCTCGCCAAAGACACTGGAGTAATTTGCCATATCATTCTCCAGCTCATTTTACAGATGAGGAAACTGAGGCACACAGGGTTAAGTGACTTGCCCAGGGTCACACAACTAGTAAGTGTCTGAGGCCAGATTTGAACTTGGGAAGATGAGTCTCCCTAACTCCAGGCCTGGTGTTCTGTGCACTATGACACCACCCAGCGGCCCCAAGTTAGGTCCCTCCAAAGCCAGCCTTTGAGTGGGTTTTCAGTGATGGACTCATGTACTATCATCAACCTAGATCTATGGCTCTGGAATTCATCTCGGATTGGCCCCCAGGCTATATTTTTTTTCCTGACCCAGCACTTGCTCAGAGGTGGTGTGGCCTAATTAGACAGAGCCAGCCTCAGAGAGCTGGGTTCAAGGTCCAACTCTGACTCCTGCGGTCTGTGGGACTCTGGGCTAGCTGCTTATTTCACAGTTTCAGGCAATTCCCTAAGATTATAATTTGCAGAGCAGGTGGCAACCTGCATTAGCAGAGGGAGTTTCCTCACTGGGAGTTAATTTGCTATGCCAATGCAAACACAAATCTGGTAAAAGAGAAGAAGAGAGGAGGGGAGGAAAAGAAGGGAAAGAAGGGGAGGGGAAGAAAGGGAGGGGAGGAGGGGAGGGAGAAGGAGAGGGAGGGAGGGGAGGGGAAGAGAGGAGAGGAAAACTCAGTAACTCATGAAGGTCATACTCTAAGGCAAGCATTCTTAACCTATTCTGAGTCTATTCAGTCCACATGAACTGAGTTACTTCCTTGGTCATAAGACCTTGGAAGAAGAACTCATTGTTTTTTCAAATATGGCAGGTCTGTGTGTGACATTTCTAGGGAGATAAACAGAAGCCAAGACAAGTTTTGGAGAGCAAGGTGACTTTTAATCTTACCTCATGTGTGTCTGTCCAACTTGGGAATTTAAGTACCTCTCCCACAGTTTCTAAGAAGGCCTAAAGAGGAAAAAATAATTCTGCTTAGACTCTATGTAAGCGATATTAGGCAATATCAATCATCAAGTATTTAATACTAAGTGTCTACTATGTACCATGCACTATGCTAGCACTGGGCATATACTAAGAATGAAACAATCCCTCCTTGCAAGCTTGTAGTTTACTGATGGAGATAAGTACAAATAAAATGTATACGGTGTAAATATAGTTATAAATACAAATAAATATGTAGTTAAAAACAGCATATGTTGGAAGGGAGAGCACTAGCCATTGAGGACATTAGGAAAAGCTTCATGAAGAAGATGGCACCTGAGCTGTACCTTAAAGGAAGAGGGAGGTCTCTGAGGCAGTGGGGAAGAGGGAGTGAGTGCATTCCAGCCTGGCAGGAACACAAGGAAGGCCGGTTTGGCTGGATTGCAAAGTATGGGAGGGAGAGGAATGTCCAATGAGGCTTGAAGGATAGATCGGGGGGCAGCTAGGTGGTGCAGTGGGTAGAGCACCGGCCCTGAAGTCAGGAGGACCTGAGTTCAAATCCGGCCTCAGACCAAACACTTGACACTTACTAGCTGTGTGACCCTGGACAAGTCACTTAACCCCAACTGCCTAAGCAAAAAAAAAAAGAAAAAAAAAGATAGATCGGGGGCAGGTTGTGTAAGCCTATTTAAAAGCAAACGGCATTAGATGCAATTTTTTTTTCAGAAGCATGTATCAAGTTGGGATGTGTGCATTTGAAGGAAGGTGACTGAGATGCTGAAGGTCCTGAAGCTGATGCCCTACGAAGACCATCTGAAAGACCTAGGATGCTTAGTTACAGAATCACAGAACTTTTAGGATGGGAGGGTCCTCACTGTCCATTTAGTCCAACTCAGACGTGAAGACATACCCAATGAGGGGTCATCCAGTCCTTTTTGAAGACCTTCAAGGAAAAGGCACTCAGCATCCCCCAAGGCAAGCCACTGCTGTTTCTCTTGGGAAATTTTCCCTGACACTGAGCCTAAACTGTCCTCCTCATAACTTCTACCCATTACTCCTGACTCTTTCCTGTGGGGCCAAACAGACCAAGGCTAACCCTTCCTCCAAAGAAGAGTCCTTCAAATGGTTGAAGACAGTTGTCATGACACCCCTGAATCTTCTTCTGCAGACCAAACACGCCCATTTCTTTCAACCAGTCCTCATGTGACATAAACTCAAGGCCCTTCACTATCCTGATCACCCTCCTCTAGACACTCTCCAGGAGATTAATGTCTGAAGAAGAAAATATACGATTGCTGCCAGCCGGAATTGGAAGGACTGTGGTTTGGAAGTGGAATTAGACATGTTCTGCCTGTCCCAAGAGGATACAACCAGGAACAATGAGGGGAAAGCATCCCAGAGGCAGAATTCAGCTTGACAGAAGGAAATAGATAGGAAAACCTCCTGACCATGAGACTTGTGAAATAGATTCTTCTTTAGGTAGTGAGTCCCTCATCACTGGTAGTCTGCAAGCAAAGGCTAGAAGACCACATGTCCGAGATATTATAAAGGGGACTCTTGCCCAGCTCTAAGCTGGACCAGACTGATCTCTCAGAATTCTTTTTGCTCTAAGATTGTATCATTTCAGTACATAAGCAATTCTGGACAATTTAGTGTCAGGTCACTTAGAGATATCTACGTTACGAAGGTTCATTGAAAAACCAATAGGTTACATATACTCTTAACTTTAAGGTTTCTGAAGCACTTTATATGAATTTTGCTTTCAAATCTTAAGGGATTCTTACTCCCAGAGTGGAGAATATCCCCAAATCTTTCTTTAAAGAGGCCCCTAAAGCAGGCTGAGAGACAGTTTCTCTGCTGACCATACAACAAATCGAACCGTGTAACTTTCCTCTGCTTAAGAATTTTAAATGGTTCCTTGGAATAAAATAAAAACTTTCAGTTTGTGTTTTAAAGTTCTTCACGTTATGCCTCCAACTTCTCTTTCTAGATTCCTCTAGCTCACATGGCTTAGCCTCTCATTCTCTCATTTCCAATCCAATGGACCTAGTTACTGTGCCCTGGGTGCTGAGGTCCATCTCTCACTCACATTCCTTTGAACAGGCTGTCTCCCTTTCCTTCTTTCACTTCCAAGCCTGGAATGCTCTCCCTCCTCACCTCTGACTCTAAAAATCCCTAGTTTCTTTCAAGGTTCAGCTCACGCCACCTCCTATATGAAGCCTTCCCTGACCACTCCCTCAATTGTTAATATTTCATTTTTCAGCCAAAATTTTATAAATATATATGTATGTATGTGTATGTATGTATATATGCACATATAGAGATAGATTTTGTGCATACATGTTGCCCTCCCCTTTCCTCCCAGTAGAATATAACCCCCTCTATAGACAGTAGGAACTGATTTATATTGGTCTTTATGTCTTCAGTGCCTAACACAATGCCTAGCACAAAGCAGGTATTTAGTCAATCCAATTTAGTCAATTCAATTCAATTGGATTGGATTGGATTGGGTTGGGTTAGGTTGATTGGACTGGATTGAATTGGACAGAACTGGGATAAGCATGGAATGAGGAAAGGGGTGATTTGGAACACAATGAACTGCTTGGCAGTTTGGGCTGAGGTACATGGAGGGAGAAGGGATGGAAGGTGCTTGCCCCTGCATGTTGGTTTCAGGGAATTGACTTGAAGGAGTTACCCAGTCTGACATCATGGAAACAGCACCAGACTGAGGCTCAGGGCAACTGGGTTCCAGCCCCATGTCTTTTACACCTTGCCCTTGCCCTCTCTGGGACTCAGTCTTTAGGTCCACAAAACAAGTTTTGACTATACAATCTCTAAGGTCACTTTCAGCTCTAATAAAATATAAAGAAAGAAAGCAGGTAGGGTGGGGGCAGTCTCAGAAATTCCTGAGGTTGGCAGAGTTCTGCTTGGGCAGAGTTCAGGGCATAGGTGAGGATCACTGGCTCTGTTTATCAGCAGGTAGGTTGTTTGAGTCGCTGCCATTTGTTTCTTGTTTTCTTTGTTCTTTTTTTTTTTAATTTTCCCCATTTTATCTCCAACAGTGCATTGGCAAGAGTAGTGGCATCTCAGCTGAATGTTCCCGTTATGCACAGCTTATGAAATTGATGGCTTTAATTTGCAGCAATTAAATATCGAGCTGCTGCCGCTTCAGTATTAGGTGTGAGACAGATTCTTCTCATTAGCAATAAATAAATAAATAACACAACAGGCACTTCCTCCACTGTGGGGAGGAAGGGGTGCCGTTTTTCTCTGTTAACACTCAGAGTTGTCTGTTGTTGTTTTACCTGGTTCTTCCCAGCATCATCACTTGGCTGGAATGATTTTTTGTGATGCTCCTCAGGAAATCAGGCAACTACGTACCTGGGCTGCTTCTTGGAAGATACACCAGGGAATAAAGCAGCATCAACCAATCAACAAGTATTTATTAAACTACTCTGCATAAGGCTTTTTTTTTCCCCACTGAGTCTGGGAATTCTGCATTGAAAGAATTCAACAGGCATGAATTAAGCACCTACTGTAGGCTGGGAACTGTCCTTGGTACTGGAGATACCAATTTTAAAGATGGAACCCTTTCTATCTTCAGTTGTAGAGTTCAGATCCTGGGACTGTGCTGTCATTATCTATAATCTATATATAATCATATCTATATTTATATCCATCATCTAGAATAACACTCACTATATCTAGCCAGTTCCAGACTCCCAACTACATTCTGCCTTGACCATTTTCCTTTCTTGGATAGGTACTCCTCCCCACTCCTCACTCTCACTCATACCTCATACAATAATCAAATGAAGACCAACATTGTTTCTGGAAAGGCCCTGTCAGTGACTTCATATAAAGAACCTCTAACCCTTCCTGTGAAACAGTTCTTAGCTGGTTTTGCATCATAGGACCCCTTTGACAATCCAGTTAAGCCTATAAACCCCTCTTTGAAATCAAGATTTTAAATGCATACAGTGCAAAGGATGACAAAGAAAACCTATTAGATTGAAATCCAGTGACCTAAATATTTTTTACAAAAAAGATCATGGACCACAGGTTAAGAAACCCTATAGTTTGACAAGGAGCTCCCTTTATTTATTAGCTTCAGAGTACACCCAGTCTATTATCATAAAAATTGGAGTCAGGAAAGCTAGATTTCTAATTCAAAAAGCCCTTTCCTGGCTACTAACTCCCCTAAGCATTGATGTGCAAATGGTGCATGGAAATATATAGAAGTGGGTCTGACAAGTGACTTAGAGATCTCTGTGTTCTTCCCCAAAGCAGACTTCAGAAATCTCTGCTGCATTCCTCTCAGTGGAGGCTGCCTTGGTAATGCATCTTCCCAGCACAGCTTCTGTTTGATGGAGTGTTCAACAGCCATCAGACTTGGTTTCCCCAGTAGAAAACACAGAGTGAGAGTGTTTCAAAGGTTTTGAATCTCATTAAATGTCATTGATTCAGGTAACAAAGAAGACACCTTTAAAAACATTCTCTTTTCCAGTGTTCCTTCCATTGTTCCTGATCTTCTTAGCCCTTCACTCCCTCTCTTGCACACAACATAAGAAAAGTTTTGTACCTATGATTCCAGAGTCCTCTAAACATTTCCAGGTGTTAGGATCATAGATTTAAAATTGGAAAGGAGGGAGAGCTTTTCCCCAAAAAAAGGTTACTTTCCATTTACTCTCTAAATATCTTGGACATGGCCACATTGTCTCAGAATGTAAGCTTCTCAAGGGCAAGAACTCTTCAGTACTTAATACTCTGTACTCAGTACTCAGAAAGTGCTTAATAAATGTTCACTGATTAATTACTCTAGTCCAAACCCCTCCTTTTACAGGTAGGGACAATGAAACCCGGAGAGGTAGTGACTTCAAAAGAATGTAGGCTCCTTGAGTATCTATTTCATCTCTGCCTTTGTATCCCAGCATATAGCAGGCATTTATTAAATGTATATGTATTGATTGATTTCCCAGAGTCACAGGGGGAGTAAGTGACAGGATTGGGATTTGAACTCAGATCCTCTGACACTAGAGAAACTGCTCTTTCCATAGTATTACTTCTTTGCCAAGCTCCCAGTGTGAATACTCCACTTTGCCCATTCCTCCCTCCATCCTCATGCAATTGGTGAATAATTAATGTTTGGTAAAGACAGAATTTTGAAGAAGTATAGGTACAAAGCCAAAGCAGACTTCTGGGAAGGATTGCTATCAATAGAGCTTAGAATATACTATTAGTGTTTAATGTACAAATCTCCCAAGCACAGGGCATCTGGGGATGGAGAAAATTAGCCCTTCTTCTCCCTCTCCATTTATGAAGTATTATTCATGTCATTGGTATTAATATATTTCTGGGTGGAGTGGAAGAAGGAAGGAAGAAAACAAGCATTTATTAAGTGCCTACTATGTGCCAGGCACTGTGCTAAGTACTTTACAAATATTACCTCATTTCATCCTTTCACCACAACCCTAGGAAGTTGGTGCTATGATAATCCCCATTCTTCAATAGTTGATGAATCTGAGGCAGACAGGGATTAAGTGACTTGCCCAGGGTCACACAGGTAGATAATATCTGAGGCTGGTATTGAACTCAGGTCTTCCTGACTCCAGGTCCATTTCTCTATGAACTGTGTCACATAGGCTGGGTGTGGTGGGGAGAAGGAAACAATGAGAGAGTGGAGAGGAGGAACCAGACCTGGGATTTCATTCGTGAAGCCAATTCCTCATGTGGAAATTCCTTCTCTGAATAAAGATGGATGGCTATTCTGTAACTCATACTCTTAAATAAGAGTTATCTGGGTGCACCTAGAGTTTGCCCAGGATTTTACAGTCAGTTTATGTCAAAGGTGGGACTCAAATCCAGGTCTTTCTGACTACAAGACCAGCTCTATCTATCATATCAAGATGCCTCTTAGTACTGCTAACATGTTCGTGTGTTATATGGACAGTTGGAGAAACGCTTCTTTCACCATCAAGTAGGCAGCAAAGCCTGTTCCCATTCCCAGAATTGTTTCTGACAGTACTTGAGTCAGGATTTCAAACTAGGCTACCTTCTAGATGAAGTCTTTCCTGGTCCCCTTCCCCATATTGTTAATGCTTTCTCCTTCTAGAAGTGACTTTCTATCTAATTCAAGGTCAGCAAGGTGGCCCAGTGCATAGAGTGCTGGGCTTAGAGTCAAGAAGATCTGAGTTCGAATCCACCCCTAGATACTTTCTAGCTCTTAGACTATGGGTAAGACACTTAACCTTTGTTTGCCTCAGTTTCCTTGTCTGTAATATGAGGATCATAAGAGCACCTTCTTCCCAGAGCTGTTGTGAAGATCAAAGGAGATAATAATTGTAAAGAGCTTAGCACAGTGCCTGGCACATCGTAGGTACCATATAAGTTTTAGTTATTATTGTTATTATCATCATCATTATCATTATTTGGATACATGTGTTTTCTGCCCAGTTGAAAGTGAGCTCCTTGCCAGTAAGGGTTGTTTCATTTCTATCTTTGTATGCTGAGCATCTATAGAGTTCTTGGCATATAATAGGCACTTAATAAGTACATGCAGAAGTTTGGCCCCAAAGAAAAGATAGGAAAGGGCTTCTCCCTACTCTTTCTTTTCAGAGACTGGGGATTATGGGTATGGAACACTGTATATAATATCTGACTTTTTTAATGACTTGGTTAGTTTTGATTAACTGGGAATTTTTTTTCTTTTTTTACTTTTTTAAAATAAAGTTGGGCTCTTTTGGAGGGAGAGGGACACATTGGGAAATATAGATGATTCAAAGATGATAGTAGTATTATACACATACACACACATATTCAACAATTCAATTATATATACATACATTTGTTGAACTTATATACCCTAAGTCATTCTGAGCAAGGAGTAAACTGACAAGGTACTCAAGGTAGCCTAGCTGAATAGACTCACAGAGTTATGGGGACCTGCTCTAGGTCTGAGGCTTTTAAAGGGCATTAATTATGAGCCCTCAGTTTCTCAACTGAATCCTCTTTTTGAATTTTACAATTTTTCCCAGCTGCTGAAATGGAGAAAAGTGAGTATGTGCCAAATACAGGAGCCCAGATGGGATTAGGTGACTTTTAAAATCTTCTACTTCAAAGACCACTAATTTCTTTAATGGGACTGTTCACTCCACCAAAGCAGATCAAAGACCCCATATAGCTTAGGAGAAAACCCTCAAGAGTTTCTGTAGCTAAAACCCTTCATCTTCCTCTAGACCAGTGGTACCAAACTCAGTTCTTCCTGACTCCCAATCCAACACTCTTATCTACTGTACCATCAGGCTACCTAAGTCTGATGCAAGCTGATTTTCACACAATAGACACGATCAGTCAACATGCCCAAGTTCAAAGCCTTTCTTGTTTGGCAGCCGGCATTCTGCTGGTATAGCTTCCAAGAACCCAGAGTCTTCTCAACAACCAAATGAGATTCTCAGAGTCACACAGAACCTCAGGGGCCAGTTTGAGAAAACTCTGCCTAAAGCAGAATCTCCATATTTGCAACATTCCTGAGGAGGGAATGGTCAACCAGCCTCTTGCTGGAAGACCTCCAGTGAGGAGGGACTATATACCAAATACATTCCAATTGTTATAAAGTTTTGTTTCACTTTGCTTTGTTAACAGAGGAGAAAACAGAGGGTAAGTGACATCAGACCTAACTCTGCCTCTTCTCAAGTACCAACCAACTTGGTCCTAGCTCCACCCTCTGGGGTCAAACAGAGATCTGATGGACCAGAACCAGAACAGGGATGTGGGTGGAGGTTTAGAACCCTATTTTGTACAAAGCCCACTCTGCTGGGGCAAAAATCCCAAGGCCACACATAGTTTATTTTCAAAGATAGTCAGTTTCAGCATGGTGGGCCCAGGTGGGAGAAGCTTTACCTCAGTGAAATTGAAGGCAGTATCCTTAGACAGAGACTCATTGGGTAAGCTGACCGACATGTTTTGAAGGTAGCTCAACATGGTCCCTTCTCGTTCAGAATTGCTTCTTTGCTCATTCAAGTTGTTGATGATGGGACAATAGACATCAGTGGAGACCTAGAAAAAGGCAAGACAAGACATTATGCATCCCTCCCTCTAAAAATTCTATCCATAGCCTTCTATAGAAATTGGACCCATCCAATTTTGAGACTTGTTCTTCTCATCCCCGTGACCTTTCCCTCCAGTCCCAGACCAAAGGTACTATGAAGACTCTTTTCTCCTCATCCCTCCCTTTGTCTACCAAGAGTAGAACACCAGCCAATGGCTTATAAAGTCCATTAGGACCTTCAAGTATCTTGAGAAGCAGCCTCAGCAAGAGATTTTTTTTTTAGCAAGAAGTTACAGGAGTCAGAATGAAAATGAAATGCTCTAAGAATCCCTCCAGATATTCTCTTACCTTCATGTTGGTTGCAGCAGTGGGAGGTGTGGTAGAAAGAAATACTTGCTTTCCTGGGGGAAAAAATCATTTTTCATTAAATAGAAAGAAAAGGAATAGTCCTCTTTCATTAATTTTTTTCCCTTTCCTTTACCAAAAGTTTCTAATGTCACCTAAGATCATCTAAGCATGACACAGCAGAAAGAGCCCTGCAAGCCCTGAATTCAAATCCAGTTTCAGACACTTACTACCTGTATGACTCTGGGTGAATCATTTAACTTCTATCTGCTCTGGTTTCTTCATAAATAAAACAAGAATAATAATAACCACTACCTCCCAGGGTTATTGTGAGGATTTTTAAAAAAAAAGATATTTGTAAAGAACTTCACAAAACTTAAAGTTTGTTGAGGTTAGAGTAGATCTGAGGGCCCTCTCAGTACTCATATTCTGTCTCTAATATGTATTTCCAGAGTAGGAGACTTCCTGGAAAGATGTATGGCTAATAAAACATTTTTATTAATGGAATTTTCTTAGTTTCCCCCAAGACACAAATTATAACAGATATGTGAATTATATTGTTTAATGTTAATTATTTTGCATAATATATGAATAAATCAGTCATTTGACATATATTTATTGGGCACCACTCAAATACATCAAAATTTAATGTGGAAAGGATAGTGGCCAGTTGTTATCCCTGTCCCAGAAGGAAAGAACCAAAGAAAATGAACTCACATCACAGTAAGAAGGAATTAGGAAAAGATGGCTGGTCAACTCATCTTCTCAGAACCTGCTGCTAAAAAACTGGCAATGACCTAGAATGGATGGGGCACCCTCCTGCCTGGAGGTACAGTGACTTGACAATAATTGTGGTGCAGCCAAAAGATCCCTGAATCTGGAGTCAGAGGATCTGGGTTCGAATCTCAATTCTGTCACTTAGTACCTATGTGATGTTGGGGCCCCAACTTCTATAGACCTCAGTTTCTTCCTTGTAAAATTAGGGAATTAAACCAGATGACCTACAAGTTCTAGATTTATATTCTATGACTTCTTTTTTTATTTTTTTGAGACAATTGGGGTCAAATTACTTGCCCAGGGTCACACAGAGAGTGTCTGAGGTCGGATTTGAACTCAGGTCCTCCTGACTTCAGGCCCTGTGCTCTATCCACTGTGACGCCTAGCTAGCTGCTCCTATCTTCTCTGATTTCTAAATTTCCTTGTAGCCTTAGCAATTTTTGGATTCTCTCCTGTCCAGGGTGGAAGCCTGCTCTGCTTGACTGCAGAGCCATTCAATTAACTGAGAAGATGAAGACGCGAGATTGTGTCTATTTCACTTATGATTTAGGTGTGCCTGTCTCATCTCCAGCAAAAATTTCTCCTTCTCAAACCTCCCCATCCAATGCACTGGCCAAGCTGCAGATTTCACTTGTCATCAGAGGCTGCTGGGGAGGGAAAGGAGAAATGTTTGTTGACCCAGGGAAAATCTGTGAAATGACATCATTACACCTTGCTAGCTCCTACAGCCCCTCATCCCATGATGTCCTGAATACATCCCGAAAGAATGTGCCGACCTCCACCCCAGACCGCTCTGCTAGCTAACAGAGCAAGCATCCACATGCTGGAGGAGAGTAAGGAGTGAACGGAGCCCTTGCTTCCCAAGGGGCATGAGGCAGGCCACAGTTCACATTCCCCCGGAGGGTGAAGACACCCACTGTTCTCCCAGGAGACAGAGCTCCTCCAGAACAAAGCAGTAGAGCCCGGAGAAAGGGCATGAAGAGCAAGTACTTGCTGTGTGTTACACAGCATTCTTGCAGCATTAATCTGAACCAAAGGGATTGATTTATGATAGCCCTGGGCCTGCTGATGTTGTAGAAAGGAGGGTTTGTTATGGTCTCTACAACAACCAGATACAAAAGCAAATTTTTCCAATGTAACTAAAGCATTGAAAATATTAAGAGAGCATAATTTATTGGAGGCTTTTAAGCATGGGAACACAAGAGACAGAGAGCTCGATCTCAAGATGATGTTCTCTGAATCCCAGACAAGCCCATACCGTGGATTTTTCTCCTAATATCTTATTTCCTCAGACTTGTCTTCACTAGGGAACAAGGACCAGGACTCAGTGGACAAAGGCAGCTATGTTTCAATGGGAAAAGGGCTTGGATTTGAAATAGGTGGACACAGTTTCAGATTGACTTTCTGTGTGACTCTGGGTCAATCACTTAACCTCTCTGAGCCTCAGTTTCCTTCTCTGTAAAAGGAGGGCCACTTAAGGGTGACCTCTAAGGTTCCTTCTCCCTTTTAATTCTTATGGGCTCATAACCTGAGTTTGAATCCCGATTCTGACACATACTATGTGACCTCAAATAAATCACTTCCCCTCTCTAAATGTCCATTTCTTCCCTTATAAAATGAGAGAATTGAGCTAGATTACTTTTTATGTATCTTTCCAATTAATAATTTTATGGGACAAAAGGCAGATAAATGAACAGCATAGGGTGATAAAATAAACAAGGGGTAAATCTGGGATCGAAAACACTAATTCCTCATCTTCCAATCTAATATTCCGGTCACTCAACTTGACAGTTTTTCATTCCATCCTCATCCCCATATCTCAGAATCTTTTCTTTCCCTTGAGACTCAACTTAAAGATCACCTTCTAAATGGGGACTTTCCCCCACAACTGCTAGGGCCCTCCTATCTTCAACTACCTTAGACTCATTCTGCATATACTTAGATCTATACATGCTGTCTCCCCCAAAAGAATGTAAGCTCCTTGAGGGGAGGCACTATTTCATCTTTGTCTTCCTATCTCCAGCATCCAGCACAGTGCCTGGCACATAGGAGGTGCTTAACAAATTCTTGTCAATTGATTTATGTCAGTAAGTCAATGAACAAACAATTATGAAGTGCTTTTCTCAACACCTCGAAAAGGATCTTAAATATAGTTGGCACTAAGTAAACATCTCCATGCTCCTCAATATTGTTGTTGTTGAGTTATTTTAGTTGTTTCTTACTCTTTGTGACCCCATTTGGTGATTTCTTCACAAAGGTACTAAAGTGGTTTGCCATTTCCTTCTTCAGTTCATTTTACAAAGGAGGAAACTGAGGCAAACTAGGTTAAATGATTTGACCAGAGTCACACAGCTACTAAGTATCTGAGGCCATATTTGAACTCAGGGATGAGTCTTCCTGATTCCAGGCCTGGTGCTCTATGCATTATGGCGCCACCCAGCTGCCCATGTCACCATAGCCAACTACAATCCATAAGAGGTAGTTTAGCAAGGTGGGAAGAGTCACAGATTTGGAGGCATTGAATGCAGATTTGAATCCCAGTTCTGCCAATTACCACGTGAGTGAGTGACTTTGGGCAAGTCACTTAAACTTTCTGGGCCTTGGTTTTCTCATCCATGAGATTAGGGTGTTGGAACAGAAGCCCTAATATCTCTTCCTCCTTGAAATCTATGATCCTATAAGGCCAGGATTGTGATATTATTTCATTTTTCCAACCTGAAGCCCAATTCCATTTAATTCCACAAGCATTTATTAACATAATACATATATTTTGAATCTGAAACTGAACCAACGATTTCATTGACACGGAGAGCTCCAAGAGGAGGAAACCTCCACTGATGCAGATTGGCACGTTTTCTGCAACTTATAGACTTGGAAAACTGCCTAGGGCAATGAAAGGCCAGAGTCAAATAGGCAGTACATGTCAGAAGCAGGATTCGAATGCAGGTTTTCCTGGTTCTAAGGTAATGCTAATGGCCTCCCTCTAGAACCACCTCCAATTTAACCTATACATTGTACATAATGGTTTTCATGTTGTCTCCCCTATGAGCTCCTGGAGAGCTTACCCTGTCTTTTGCCTTTCCTTGTATCCCCAGCACTTAGCTCTATGTGCCTGGCACTGAGTAGGTGCCTAATAAATGCTTGTTCACTTGACTATGCTATTCCAACCATATTGAATGCACAGTGTTTTGTACATAGCAGACATTTGTTTAACAAAAGTTTGAGAAACTAAAGATCCAATCAGTTTAGGACCATAGATTTAGAACAGGAAGGGATCTAAGACTTAAGAGCTCATCTAGTCCAACCCCTTGATTTTACAGATGAGGAAATGGAGACCCAGAAAACAGAGCCACAGTTACATGAGCATAGGGGGCAGAGATGGAATTGTGAGCATTCTTTCTGCCATAACACACTGCTTCCCAGAAACGAGAAAACCATCTAATCCAGGAGCTGGAGGAATGGACTAGAAGTTCTGATCATCAGCGTGGAAACATAAATTATATTGCGGTTCAAGCAAATTGTTAATCTCTTTATCTTAGGGAACAGGTGTTCTAGGAAAGGACTACATTTATTAAAGTACGTTTTAACCCCTACAGCACTGAATCAGACCGATGTGGGAGGAGGAAGCACTAGTTTTTTTTTTTTGTTTGTTTTTTGTTTTTTTGGGTGGTGATGGTGGTAGTGGTGGTTTTTGAAGGGAGGCATGTTAAAAGGGATTCTATAAGAAACAATTGCTTCAAAAAGTAGCCCCCAATCTGGCTCACACTCTCACTGACCAATGGCAGCTGTAAAATACATCCTGATTTCACTGGGTGTCAGGGCTCGCTCCCAGATAATGAACTCATCGAAAGCACCATTCTCATAGTTCTTAGGTTGGTCTCTGTCAGAGCAGATCACCAGGTTGACGTTGGGCTCCCCATAGGTATGAGATACTTTTCCACTTGGGTCTGTTGTGTTCAGGGTCCCATTGACATAGACTTTCAGGCCTTCCTTGGATTTCCATGTAAATAGGACATGAGTCCAATAGGGACCTAGAGAAAAGCAAAGGTGGTCATGGCATCACAGAATTAGAATCCCCCTCCACCCTATCTTTGACAGATGGGGCCAGCCAGATGTTGCCTGAAGACCTCTAGTAGAAAGGAACCCACCACCTCCCATGGCAGACCATTTTGGACAACTCTCTCCCTTAGGATGACTGTTCTTTCATGGAATCAAAATCTGCCTTTGTACCCTACACCGGTTACCTCCAATTCTGTTCTCTGAGGCCAAGAAGAGTAGGTCATCAGTTACTCAGAACAGGACTCATCTGATTTCCCAGGAAGACTTTGACTTGAATGCTTAGAAAGGACCTCAGAGAGAACGTTTCTCCTCACCGTTTTCTAGAGGCCCACTGATGTCTACAGTAAATGAACTTTGTCTTCTGTGACAACCCTTCAAATACTCAAATATAACTGGATAACCCCTCTAGGTCTCTTCTTCTCCAGTCAGTCCTAAGTTTCTAAGGAATAACTTTAATGCCTATATCTATTTCTAAATCAAGTAAATTTTAACTAACTTTAAAAAGTTTTGATAATTATCCCTGGTGGTGCCATGCTTTTCTCCTTTGCTACTGAGCAAAGGCCAAAAAAAAAAAAAAAATCACAGAATCTCAGACCTGGAAGAAACCTGAGTGATGATCCAGCTCAATCCACACTGTGTCCATTATAACACACCAGGTGAGAGGGCACCCAACCACAGCTTGAAAACCACCAGTGAGGGGGAACTCACTACCTCCTAAAGCAATCCATTTCACTTTGGGACAGATCTTACTATTAGGAAGATTCTCCTGACCTCAAACCTCAGTTTACCTCTTTGTAACTTCTGCCCTCTGAGGTCAAACAAAACAAATCTAATATTTCTTCCACTTCAAGTACTTGAAAACATGCATCATGCCACTCCAATTCCACCACCTTCCTACCTGATCTTCTCTGCTCCAGGCTTAACACTCCCAGCACTTTCAATTATATGCCACACACTTAAGCCCCTTTACCATCCTGGTTGCCTTCTAGCTAATCCATGATCTCCTTAAGTAGTTGTGCCCACAAATGGAAGTAATATCTTAGACATGGTCTGACCAGGGGAGGGTACAGTGGGATCATCACCTCTTTATTCCTAGAAGGTCTGCCTATTAAATTTGGAATGAAAAGCATGTAATTAAATGCTTACTGTATTCAAGACACTGTGCTGAGTGCCAGGAGTAAAAATCATACCCCCAACTCATACTCTCCAGGCAATAAAAGCCCATAAAAAGCCCATCACGCTAACGGAGAGTTATGTAAGACCAATTTCTACCCTCTATTCCCCACCATTCCCAATAAACATTTGTAGACTCTCTCCTCTCTCGGGAAGACTGAGTTCACCAATAAGAAGAATGAGCCTTGGATTTCTGGGGTCACTTCTCCCCCAGCTAGGACCTCCACACATTTGCCAAACATTAATGTGAGGATATCATAATGGCCTCACTGCTGGGGAGAACACAACGGCTCTGGAACAGCAGATCGCCATCTGTCAGCCTGCCAGTAATTTTAAATTGCAAAGCAATTACATCAGGTGTTCTGGCTAAGTATTATGCAACTTTCTAGTCATTTTTGAGCCTCTGAAGAACATTTGACCCTTAAGTAGGTCCAAGGTATAATTGCCCCCTCATTTGGAGGTGGGAAAAATAATAACCTATTTGGCATACAAACAAGAGTTTATACCACCAGGTACCAGCTTTCTCCACGCCTCGTATGCCTCCATGCTGGAAAATAATTTGAGTTTAACAAGCAAACACCAATCAGCGCAACGAAATGTAAGTTCACATCTTAACGGAATCTTGGCTTCCATAGTTACATATACAAATGGAGTTGGAATAAATGAGTTGTTTTAAAAGTATCTGTAGGGGGAGAAATGTTTTCATAATTTCTGTCAGATTTCTTTTTTTTAAATGAAGCTTTTCATCACCATGCTTTATAACTGCATCAGGGCTGTAATTTGTATTTTCAGCACGTGGGGCAAACTTTTTAAAATGGTAAGGGGTCGGGAAGATTGGCGAGCAATACTACAAATTCCCTCCAAGCAACTTTTCAAGACAAATTCAACAGGCAGGTGGGGAAACAGAATATCATCTCCCATAGGTGAGGATCTGCTGATATAGGAAGGCAACTTGGGGCTGGGGATGGGTTGCAGCAGCTAATGGGAGGGTGGACTTTGAGGGGAAGAAATGAAAAGAAAGTATACTCCCCATGCCAGGCCGTCTGGTAACTTCCTATTTTCATTCATTATTCTTGCCAGCTAGATGTGAGGCTCCATTGTTTCTATGCTGCTAGAAGAGTTTAAAAACTATCAAAGAGCCCTCTTCATCTAGTGCCCTGAGGCAAAGCCCTGGCTGCCCTGTCCTAAGAACACATAGGATGTTCATGGCACTTATTTTAAATTTTAAATCTCCTAATATGGAAATATAGTTGGCATGATGTCACACGTATAATTGATATCACATTGATTACCCTCTCATTGGATGAGGGAGGGGCTGAAGGGAGGAAGAGAATTTGGAACTCAAATTTAAAAAAAAACGAATGTTATAAATAAATATAATTTTTTTAAATTCTTAAATCTCCTATCTGACCCCAACTCACATTCTCCAAGCTATAGAAGCCCAGCCAATGGGGAGTTATGGAAGGTTGGTCTCATTGCTCATCACATAAATTAAGAAAAGAAAACTCTTGAAATAGGGCAAAAGTGTCTGCAGACCCTCAGGGCATAACTAGTCCTCCAGAAGAGAGGAAACCCTCCCAGTTACCAGCCACCTTCACAGCTCTGACCAAGGTCTCTTCCAGCTTGAGATTCTATGTTTTCCCAAGTTTATCCAAGAGTCTGGATCATTGGGCCACTGGGACCACGGCATCACAGCTCAACCTAGTTTATAAGCAAATGCTTGAAATGTAATCCCTCCTCTAAGAATCCTTGTCTTTTTTCAAGGCGCCACCTCCTCCATGGAGCCTTCTTGGTCCATTGCTACACTGGAGCACAGTGTCCAGGGGGACGGCAGAATGTTTCCTACCCTCCCCTCTTGCTGCGCCCCCCCACTACCACCATTTCTTGTAGCCTAGGATTGCATGTGACTCCCAGGGCACAGCTCCACGGGCTATTCCAGGAAGAAAACACAAAGACTAGGAAAGCCACTGGAATGGTAAACATTTAATTGTCCACAGAGCTACGGCCAAATGACTCACCCCTAATGACATCAACCTACAAAAACTGGAGCAACAGAACCAGCCAAAGAGAGAAATGAGAAAAGGATTGATTTGGCTATGTTGTTTTGAGTGAGTAAATCATACGGGATAAATGATAAAAAATCAATGACCAACTTCAAAATTATAATGAAATTATGAATAAGTATGTAACTCCTTTACCTAAGAAGCTTCAATAGCTCCATGGTGTCTAGGATAAAACATATCACAACATAGTTCCAACTTATCTTTCTTGATTAATTTCTTATTACTCCCTCTCACACACTCAATATTCCAGCCAAACCGACCTGTTTATTGTTCCTTGGACATAACTTATCACTTCTCATCTCCCTGCCTTTGCATGGCCTGTTTCCCATCCCAGGAATGCTTGAGCTCCTCACCTCCTAAGATCATGGATTTCAAACTGGAAGGACTTGAGAAGTCATCTAATACAACCCCCTACAATTTTATAGATGAGGAAACTGAGGCCACGAAAGGTTAAGTACATTGGCCAAGGGCACACTGTTCATAAATGGTGCCATTAGGACTTGAACTCAGGTCCTTGATTCTAATCCCAATTAGAATCCTTGCCTCCATTTTTCAGAATTTCTAACTCCCATCAAGGCTCAGCTCATTCCAACACCCTACATGATTTTTCCTGATTCCTTCCCTCCCCAGTTGTTAGTATTCTCCCAATTACTTTATATTTTCTTTTTATGTATTTTGCATTTGCTTATTGGTGTACAAGCTGTATCCTCCCCCACCTCTGAGTAGAATATAAATTCCTTGCAGGTGGGAATTGTTTCATCTCTTTGAGATCTCTCCTTTGCAAAAGGCTTCTCAGTTCTAAGGTGACCTACAATCATCTTGTCATGAAACTATGGAAAGAGTTCTGGATTTCAGGTCAAAAGACCTGGGGTCAGATCCCAGCTGTGCTTATTACTACTTAAGCAACCTTGGGTGAAACATTTCACTTAGCTGGACCTCAGTTTCCAGCACAGAACAGATATTTAATAAGTGCTTGTAGAATCAAATTGAAAACCACACATGATCTGTGGCAAAGGGAGAATACATATTTAAATGGTGAGTTTTATAACCTTCCCTAATGACACCTTAAAAAGCGGTAAGCTTATACCAAATCAAACAACTTGGGGCTTACGGTTATTATCTAAATATGGCAAAATCTGTTCTTTATCATTGAATAGTTTGGGCCCCATCAAGCAGCTGTCTCCCTTCAGAGTCTCCAAGTAGAGGACAATAGAGACAGCTATGAAATTTACCTGGTGGGCTGAAGCTGGCCTCCCACTTCATGGAATTCTCATGGGTGTAAAATTCCACAGAGCCTTTTCCTTCACTGGAGCAGACCTTGAATCCACTGGAAATAACCTGCCCTCCATAGGCTGGAAGGGCTGTCCTGGGCTGCTCTCTCTGGATCTTCCAGAAAAATGAAAACGTGACTCCTGAGAAAGTGGAAGGCATGAGATTCAGTTATCAATGAGAAATAGAAAGTGCCAATATCCAGGCATGGCATACATTTTATTTTATTGTTCATCTGAATGGACTCCTAATTGGTCTTCTTGACTCCAGTCTCTCCCCTTCCTAACAAATCCTCCACAGAACTGCCAAAGTGGCATTCTGAAAACACAGATCCAATTGTTTCTGCATGGAGTAGGGAAAGGGAAGGGAATATGCATCTATATAGCACCTACTATGTTCCAGGCACTGTGCTAAGCAGGCAGGCATTGTTTCATGTTCTTGTTGTATCCCCAGAGACTTAAATGTATTAAGCATTTAATAAATGTTTTTTGAACTAGATTGGAGCAATTGAGTTGAATTGAACTTGAATGAGTGAGGAAAGTCCCTTGCTGCTGAGGTTTTCAGTGAACAAAATCCTTCTTGCCAGAGAGGTGAAGGAGATCTTCCTGACCTCATCTCCACCCACAATTGCAGAATTCCCATACTAGAAGATACTTCAGATCACATTTAGCCCAGACCTTTTGTCTGGCACATATCCCCTCCACAACAACCCTTCTTAGGATTATCTAACATCTTCTTGAAGTCCTCTGGGGAGGAGGAACTCACTATTTCCCAAAATGGACGGCTCCCCTTTAGTATAGCCCTAATTGCAAAGATTTGTTTTTCTTCACCAAGCCTAAAAAGCCTCTTTGCAACATTTAGAGCTGGAAGGGACCTCAGAAGCCTTCTAGTCAAACCCCCTTATTTTACAAATGAGGAAACTGAGGCCCAAAAACATTAAGTGGCTTGCCCAACATTCCATAGGCAACCAAAGAATCATAGGATAATAGGACCAATTCGTTACTTTCGGTTCTGCTCTGGGTTCCTAGGATGTCTCCATTCCAAGAACCAGACATCTCCTTTCAACGTAAAATTTAGCACAATAGAAGTCTATTGGGAGATATGCCCCCAAACTCGTTCCTCATCAAGGTCTCAACTAAATTCTTTTGGGGCTTAATTCTGAACCTAGCCTCAGTTCTCTCAACCATCTCCATCAGAACCCTCTTCCACATGGCATTCTTTCAAATACTTGCAAACTTCTGTCATATCCTCTACCACTACCACCACTAAGTCTTCTCTGTACATGTCAAATGCTTTGCAGACATTGAAAGAGCTATAGGCAAGCCTGGTACAGTACAAAAATTACTAGGCCTGGAGTCAGAAGACCTGAGTTCAGATCCACCTTCAGATCACCCTTACTAGCTGTATGACTTTAGGTAAGTCACTACACTTCTGTCTGCCCCAGTTTGCTCAACTGTGCAATGGGGAATCACAAAAGAACCTACTTCTCTGGGTTGTTATGAGGATCAAAATGAGATAATATCTGTAAAGTGCTTAGCACAATATCTGACACATAGTAGGTGTTATACAAATGCTAACTATTAGTACTGTTATTTTTATTATAGCTGTCCACATATGATCTGGACTCCATTTCCCTCATCATCTTCATAGTCCTCCTCTAGACATATCCACAGATTGTCAAAATACCTCCCAATCCTATACTTTTTGTATTAAAAGATAAACCACTTAGCCAATTAGCCTCCTTAAGTGATAAGAAGGAAACAAAGGCTTTTATTCTTGAAACCAGTCTAGTACAAAAACAATACTTCATCAACTCTAGAACAGATTCTTTAATGAGAGAAAGAACAGTGATCAACCTAGCCTAGCCTAGATCTCCAGTGGCAGTAAGACCAGGAAGAGACAGTCAAATGCTCCCAATTCATTCCTCATCATAGTCTGTTGGGGCCATGTCTACCTCACCATTCTCTGGAACTATACACTGAAAAGTGAAATAAATAGAACTAGTGGTATAATTTTGCTATTGAAAAGAAAAGAAAGAGAGTCCCAATAGGAGTTGTAGAAGTCAGTTTTTCCAAAAGGGCTTCAGCAGCATATAAAATTCTACTTGAGCAAATCAAAATGACATCTTACCACTGCCAAAAGCCTATAGTAAGGCAGGGTGGGAATATCTTCCCCAAGAAAAATAAACAACGTAGAGGTTACAGATGAGTGGGAAGGTCTTTGCCTGAAAAGTCTTAACGCTTGAAGAAGACTTTAGGTGATTCAAGTCTGTTGGGTCCTGATACCAACATGGCGGGAGGCAATTTGGACCAGGTGTCAAAGGAACTGGGTTCAAATTCCAGCTCTGCTTGTGTGTCCTTGGGCAACCTCATTCTCCTCCTCTGTGAAATGGGCAAGTTAGACTATAGATAACCTCTGAGATTCTTTCCAATGCCAAACTGTGAGTTGATGGCTCCAGCTAATACTGCAAGTCAGAGGAAATCAGCCCATTACTCTTAGAAGGAATGTAAGCTCCTTGAGGGCAGGGACTGTTTCATTCTTTTGTTTTGTAACCCTAGTGCCTGGCATATGATTAGTGTTTGATAAATGCTTGTTAAGTGATTGACTGTGGAAGTCACTGAAGCTGGGAAGAAATTGAGTCCTTTCCTTTCCTCCCAGATACTTCCCACCAAAGAAATGAAAATAAATAGAGGCCATTGGATTCATCCTAGGCTTCCTTCCTGTCTATAGAAAGCATGGCATAGTGAATACAGCAATGGACCTGGAATCAGGAGGGGAAGAGGGAGAATGGAAAATGGTCAGGAGAAAGAAGTAGGGTCTGAGGACAGCTAGATAGAGGGATAATATGGCATAATCTGGTCCAGCTCCTTTGTCTTAAAATAAGGAAACGAGGAAGGAATGGGGTGGGTGTGGGGAGAATAATACTTGTTCAAGGTCACATAGCTGACTTGTGTATTGATTCCAGAACTGAACTGGACTCATATTCCAGCAATCATTCAACTGCATCATACATATATTTAAGTCCAAAAGCTTTTTCAACTTTCAAGAGTCTACTATTAAAATTCAAATACCCTTAAAAGGAGTAATGCGAATAACCTTAGGGTTTTATCAACTAACACTATAATGGAAATCATTTTGTTGGGCCCTTTCCAGTTGAGGCAGCTAGCTGTCAGGAGTATAGGCAGCCAGCAAAGGGCAAAGGGGGAAAGGAAATAGATACTGAAATGGAAGATGAGAGGGCAGCAAAAGAAAAAAAAAACCCATACTTTGCATAATTGACATTAGCACCTTTGTCTACACAAACAGGAGAATCAGATTCAACAAATGTCTCCATTAAAGTAAAAAATTCAAGACAAAATATGGTTAATGTAGGTCAGAAAGCAGAGAGTCCACTTTTTTTAAGCAGAAAAACCTATACATTTCCATCTCTGAAAAGGAAGTCCCTGGTTGAACTATATCCAATTTAGTCCTCCTCTGATACCCTATCGTGGTGTGGAATTGGCCATTGTTTCTTGAAGACTAAGCTAATAGACTTCAATTTCTGATAGCTTCATAGGATACAAGATTTAGGACTGAAAGGAACCGGAGGAAAATTAATGTTGGATTGTATTATTTATTATGTGAATCCATCCATTTCCTCAGACTCCAACCTCTGACAGTCCTTTTCTGAAGGTCATTACTCCCACCCCCTCCCCAAGGCATCTGCTCCCTAACTTGGGTGGGCCCCCCCTTACCTCTGCTTCCCTCATAAATAGAAACCACTTTAAGCTAACACCCTTCCCAGGGGTGGTCTTTTCGCCTCCCCCCCCCAACAATGGAGTAACAAGGAAGAGCTGAGAACTCTTAGCCAACCTCCTCATTAAAATGTCCACCAATCAGGGTTGCCTTATGATTGACAGGGGAGGTCCAAATGATATACTGTCAGGCCAATCAGAAGTAAGACATACATTAGTATAGAAGACAGGTGTGGTCTGCTCCATCACCTCAGGAGCTAACTGAATTGTATTTTACCCAAGAGCACCCAATTTATACCTAAGTGTAAGTAAAAATCTATCCAGGGGAGATTTGAGATTGGAAAAAGTGGATTGACCAAGATCAACTTTGGAGTTGAACTCTAAAGCTAGGTGGACAGTCTATTTGAAAGCCCACCTCCATCCATGTTTTTAAAAAACATTTAAGAAGGATCAAAATGATCTCCTTGAGCATCTAATATGCCTTACACCAATAGTGTCAAACTCAAATAGAAATGGAGGCCATTTAATCATTCATCAGGATCCATACCTGCCACATATAGACTTAGAAAATCACATATTAATGTTATCTATGTTCTATTGTATTTGCACTTATTTTGTTAAATATTTCCCAATTACATTAATCTGATTCCTTCATTCAATGCTGTAGATACCTCTTCCTTACACAACACCATTTTGATGAGTTAAGTGTAAATGAACCAGGGACACACAGACTGGATTTCACTTGGAATCCACTGGGGTTTCCAGATGAAGGCTAGCACCACTCAAGGGGAAAATGTTTTTTGAGCTCTCAGTAAAGCAAAACTTTGGGGGAATAAAAAGAGTAAAGGATAATTACCAAAAAAAAAGAAAAGAAAATAAAGAAGAAAGAAATGGTGTCAAGTCTTCCCATTCCAAAAGATAATTCCCTGTCCTTGGATACAAAAGTAGACACCTGGGATTTGGTGGGTTGAGATGGAATAGTGAGAGAATGACTCAACTGCAACCCTGAATTCTCTTTCAGATGTACATAATGTTTCTGTCACAGAGACTGGAAGTTCTCCTAGCTCTTAGGGGAGAAATGTTTTCTAGAGGATATTTTCTCTTACAGCTTTCACTTTTCATAAACAGGGAATAAAACTCATGACTCTTACGTGACAAAAGATTTGAACTGCAGGGACTAATTAAAGAATGTCTTCCTTCACCCTAAACTACCCCAATTCCCAGGTCTTATGCAAAGTTAGTCTATAAAAAAGGGTGGGGAGGGCACAGTAATCCTTAGCGGTCTGAGCTCATGGTAGGGTCATTTCTCTAGCAGTGGGCATGCCTCCACCTAACTAGCAAAAATCAAATACAAAACCATCCTGACTTATGTACCAGTTCATGCCAAAAAGTATTTTTGACTTGGGGTCAGAGGTCTTACTTCCCATCCAGGTTGTATTACTTACTACCTTTATGACCTTGGGCAACTCCCTTCATCAAACAATCAACAAGCATGTATTAAGGGCTAACTACATGCCAGACATTGTGCTAAGTACTGGATACACAAAGAAAAATCAAAAATAGTTCCTGTCCTCAAGGAGCTTACCATCTAATGAGAAAGGGGAAACATTCATTGAGAAAAGTATACAGACTAGACCTATGGTTTTAATTGAGAAAACTAACTTAGGTTAAGGGAGCTCTTTGTAACTTATATTCTTAAGTAGGTGTTGCCTAGAGTATAAGTAGGTAGATAAAAGAAACATCCAGAGTAAATGGGTTCATCTGGACCTCAGTTTCCTTATCTGTAAAATGTAGGGATTAGTCTAGAGAGAGGCTGCTCCCAGAGTGGAAAGGGAGATGACAAATGCCATTTATGAGGGCATCCTGAAGTAATGAGGCCTCTAGATTGTCCAGAGATTTCACCCTTCCCTTTCCTCTTCCACTTTTCTGGGACTGTCTTAACCATGTGTAATTCTCTTTCACAGTGTAAAAACCTCGAGGCATTCAAACTTAGACCTAGTTATTGGCTCCAATCAATTATTTGATAATAAAACAGTTTGTACCTATAAGTAGAAATGTAATGTTTTCATTTTCTGTGGATTTGAACTTCCAAGTGACCCACATAGACTGCTAGCCCAAGATGGGTCACCAGCCTTATATGGCAGCCAAGAAAACGAAGGCAGTATTGGGTTACAGAAAAACAGACAGAGTGTCCAGGACTGGGGAGGTGAACATTCTCTGATCAGAATCTATCCAAATTATTGCATACACATTTTAGGAAGGAAATTGACAAACTAGAATGCCCAGAGAGAGACAACTAGATTGACCAATGGCCTTGGGTTGGTGCCATATGAAGGACAGTTGAAGGAACCCAGTTGAATGTTCCCAGTTCTCTATCAACTGGGAAGGTTGACACCCAGAGAAAAGAGCCAGGGAAAATACAATAGCTATTCTCCAGTAATTAAAGGCTTGTTATAGAAAAGAAGGATCAGACTTTCCCTACTTTTCCTAGAGTTCAGAAATGAGGAAATGATAAGTAGGAATTGCAAAGAGGTGAATTTAGACTTGAGATAAGGAAAAATCTCTTAAGAGTTAGTGCTCTCAGGGGTAGCTAGGTGGTGCAGTGGATAGAGTACCAGTCCTGGAGTCAGGAGGACTAAGTTCAAGTCCAGCCTCAGACACTTACTAGCTGTGTGACCCTGGGGAAGAAGGAGAAGGAGAAGGAGAAGAAGGAGAAGAAGGAGAAGAAGAAGAAGAAGAAGAAGAAGAAGAAGAAGAAGAAGAAGAAGAATTCGTGTCCTCTAAGAGTGGAATGTCTTGTCTAAGAATGTCATGGTTCCCCCTTCACTGGAAGTCTCTAAGCAGAGGCTTCAAATGCCACCTAAGACACTAGCTTTATAGCCTTGCACAAGTCTCTCAACCCCTTTCAGTCCCAATTTCTTCATCCGTAGAAATGAAGACAATAACTGTCACACTGATCTCATTAAGTTGCTGTAAAAATCCAGTGAAAGACTATATACAAAAGTACCTTGCTTTGAAGATCCTTAAGCACTTGTAAATCATTATCTCTCACTGCAACTAGAGGGGATTCTTGCCAGACTAGGACAGCTAGGTGGTGCAGTGGGTAGAGCATCAGATCTGGAATCAGGAAGACCTAAGTTCAAATCTGGTCTCAGACATTTACTAGCTGTGTGACCCTGTGCAAGTCACCTCATTCTGTTGACCTTGGAAAAGGAAATAGCAAACCACTCCAGTATCTTTGCCAAGAAAATCCCAAATGGAGTCACAAAGAGTCAAACACAACTGAAACAACCGAACAGCAACAATACAGGTTAGACTAGATGGCCAACTAAGGTCCCTTCCAATTCTGACATGTTGTGATTATGATTGCATGACCCATAATCCTTCATGTTTCCCTAGGAACAGTGGCTATAGTAGGATCTTTCTTTGCCCAAGAAGGGTCCATTCATTTGATAAAACCCCCAGTTTCAGAGGCCTCTCTGACCTCCCTAAGTTAAAAGTACAGAAAACATTAGTCTGACTCTTTGCAGACGAGGCAGCATTTGTGCTCATGTCTCTAATCTATCCTCTCCGAATTCTCAGCTCTAATGCTCACTATCTATATGACATTGAGTAAGTTTCTTAATGTCTTTGGGTCTCCATTTCCTCCTCTGTAAAGAGGAAAGATGATCTCTTGGATGCCGATGAGTTCAAGATTTATACTCCTTTGATGTTACGACCTTTTTCAGCCTCAGTATCTTCATCTGTAAAATGAAGGTGCCCATGTAAATGATCCCTAAGATGCCCTCCATCTCCAAATCTGTGATCCAATCATCCTCTGACCTCTGATTTGTTTTTAACTTAGAGACACAGACAAGCAAAGCCTGTTTATAATGTTTTTCAAACTCAGGAACAGCTTGAATCAGGCAAGTGTAAACCTGGCCATGTTTTCCAGCCTTCAAAACAGTTTTCCAAAGCTTTTTGGTTTCATCAAAGCCCAAAACATCTTTTCTCAAGTACTTTCCCACTGAATTAGCTTTTGTTTATTTGGATTGAAATGTAATCCATATGTCTCTCTGAATCATTTACAATTAACTAATCACCATGTTGTTTTGATAAAGCCACGTGATCGCCAAAAAGCCTTTGGAGCCTTCATAGAAGGCTTTCTTTAAAATCCTTTTTCCTAGATATAGGAAGTTGTTTCAAGCCAAAGCTAAATAGACAGGAGGAGGGAGCTTGGCTCAAAGGTGGAAGAACAATTCTCCACTGGGTTTTCAATTTGACGTGTCATCTTCCCCTCCTCCCAGAATCTAAGTACCAGAAGCCTTATTTCTTTCCCGAAGAAAAAAGTAATTCTCAATTATTCACTTTGTGGATTATCCATGGGCTGATGCTTTTTGCTTTGTTTTTAATCCCAGCCATACCATGAGCCATCTATGTCCACTATGAATTGAGACATAGGGAGATGCAAACTAACTTTGCTATGTCCTAAGCTCAACACAATTCAGGAAGAGGACCTGCTTTTTAAAGAGAATCAACTCCAAGTTACGTAGTCCAAGGTTAACAAGAGCTCCCTCTCTCTCCTATTCTACTCTCTCTACCTGACCTGTAAGGTCCCTTCCAGGTCTAAATTTATGATCCTGTAACCTCAGAAATCCATTTACATCATTATGCATTCTTTCCTCCTTTGCTTTAGTCTCTGATGAAGTAGCCCTTTTCTCAAGGGTCAGCCTCTCTATTTGTGACATTGATCCCATTCCATTCTCATTCTCTCTCTCTCTCTCTCTCTCTCTCTCTCTCTCTCTCCCTCTCCCTCTCTCTCTCTCTCTCACACACACACACACACATACACACACACACACACACACAAAGCTTTATTCTCTCCCTATTTACTGGTTCCTTCTTTGCCACTTTAAAACACACACATATACATAAATATTTATATGTGTATGTATGTGTATATATGTATATATGCATGTGTGTGTATATACATATATGCATGTGTGTGTGTATGTCTGTATATATATATATGCCCAGGTTGTCTCTCCTGTCCTTAAAAATCCTTCTCTTAATTCTTCCATCCCTTTAAGCTATCATCTTATATATCTCCTCCCTTTTGTAGTCAAATGCCTAGAAAAAGCCATCTATGCTTGTTCCTAAATCCAAAGACTTTTTCTCAGTCATCACCCTTTTTGAAAGCCCCACCAAACATGACATTGCTGACCACTCCCCCTTCCCCCTTCTCCTGGATCCTTACTCAGTGCTCCCCAAAAGTTTACATTACTGCTTTCCACCTCTCTGGCTGCTCCCTCTCAGTCTTCCTTGTCCTGTCTGTTAACTGCGAGCGTCTCCCAAGTGTTGGTCCCAGGCCCTCTTCACTTTATAAACCCATTCACTCAGCATCAGCTACAACAGGGTCAAATGTCATCTCTCTGCAGATGACTCCTAGAATTGTGTGTCCAGTTCCAGTCTTTCTCCTGAGAGCCAGTCCTAAATCACTAACTGGCTAGTAGACATATCTAACCAGATGACCTCTGGGCAATTCAAACTCCAAACCAAATTCATTACTCCCAATCATTCACTCTACATACAAACTGAACTATTTACTGTTTGCTATATGTGACATTCACGTCCCATCTCCAGACCTTTGTTCACCCCATAAATAGAATATTCTCCTTAACCTTTGTCTCTGACCATTCCTAGCTCACTTCAAGGCTCACTTATTTCTTACAAAAGGCTTTTTCTGTTCCCCCCTGGTGATTCATTCTCCCCATTCCCATCTCAGTAGCAGAATAATGGACTCAGAGTCAGGAAGACCTGAGTTCAAATCCTGCCTCAGACACTTACCTGTTATGTGGCTCTGAAAAATCATTTAACCTCTCTCAGCCTCAGTTTCCTCTTCTATAATATGGGGATAACAATAGCACCTATCCCCCAAGGTTATTACAAGGACCAAGTTAACAGAGGTAAAGCACTTTGCAAACCTTAATGCTAGCATTACTTTGCATTTTGTATTGATTTGTGTGTGCATGAATTGTTCTCCTTCCCCCTGCCTTCCACCAGCCCCTACCCAGTAGAATGTAAGCTACTTGATGGCAAGACTTTTATTTCATGCTGTTCCTTGTATCTCCAATATCAACATGGTGCCTGCTTAATAACTGTGTGTTTAATGAATGAAAATTAGAGTTAGAAGGGACCTGAGAATCCCATTTTCCAAACATAAGAACGGATTCCATCACTTACCTTCAGGGTCACACAGGGTTGGGTTACTAATGCAAGAGGCTTTGTAGTACAGCAACATCGCTCCTCTCTCCTTTGGGATGTAAATGCCTTTACTGACTTTCCCTTCTACAATGTCTAGGTAAGGAGAAAATGACAAAATCATCCTTTAATCATCCTGTGAAGTAAAACCTTCTTAGGACATGAGTCAGGTATGTAAATAACTAAAGTGTTTTTGATAGTATTTCTCACTAGTGGTTATTCCCTGAGCTCCCAGTGGAGATTTGAGCCACTGACCTGAGCCTTATCTATGCTTTAATGCTAGAGAAATTACTTTAGGGCCTTCCTTTTCCCACCTCCACACTTTACTTAATTTTACAAGGGTAATATTTAGGTTCAAACTAGAATTTAAAACTATTAATCCTAAGCTCCATCTCCTTCTGGGCTCTAATTAGGAGCCCCAATTCCCAAATTTGGAAATAATCTTTTTTAAAAATAAAATCCACTGGAGGAAGACTTATACAAACCACGACTCAATAAGCCAGCCAACTACTAATCTAAACAGCTTCGTCTTCCTGTTTCATATTTCCTGTTGTCCTTATAAAGTCAATCTAATTCAATTTGACTCCCAGAGCCCATATTAATATAACTGACAATGGAGGCCTGGTGCAAATGATTTATGGAGGAGATAAGAGAAGACTATAAAAATTGAGTGTCATTCAAAGTTTACAGTTTCCTAATTGTCAATACACCTGTACCGTGTGAACTGCTCAACTACATGTCCACTGACCTGGAAGGACCCATTCCTATCATTTGATTATCCCACATGGTGGCCTAGCTGAGCCTCCTACTCCATCATCATCATCATCATCATCACCTGATTCAACTCACCAGTTTTCTCCAGCCAACAGAAGCAGGACAATGATTGACTCTAAAGGCATCTGCTAAGTGATCATCATACATACTCCATTCAACTTATTTTTTTTTCATGGGAGGACTCTTTTTTTTATTTTTCTGAAGGGAGGGGGAAAGGTAGAGAATCGACATAGTACAAAGTAAAGGGGAGACCTAGAGAGTCATTTTCCTAGTCAATCTAGACCGTGTCGACAACCCAACCAGATTATTCTGGATCCCGAAATGCATTGAGATCATAGGATCATAGATTTGAGGTGGATGGGATCTTAGAAGTCCATTGAATCCAAATCGCTTCATTTTATAGATGAAGAAACTGAGGCACAGAGAAAGTCACACAGCTAGTAAATTTCTGAGGCAGGCTTTGAAGTCAGATCTTTCTGAAGCCAAGTACAGTACCCTATCTACTAAGCAACATTGCCTCCTGATCATTTCATGATCTAGTTTAAGAGGGTTCCTTAAGGGAAGGGACTTTTTTTTAAAATATTCATTAATGTTACCAGGATCCAGGAAGAAAATGTTTTAAAGATCTACTTCTGAGAATTTCAACAGGATTCCAGGTCTAGAAGCAAGGAAGGTTTAACATTTGTATGAGGTCAAATTTAGAAAACTTTCCTTTATGGTTATTATTATTATTATTATTACTATTATTGTTGCTGTTAATAATGATGATGATGATAATAATAATAATAATAACCCCTGACATTTATGTAATCCTTTGAGCTTCACAAAGCACTTTACTGATATCTTATTTAGTCCTAACTACGTGAGATGGATTTACAGGAACCTATCACAATAGAGATTTCCAATGAAATAAAAAAGCACAATTTTTAACCCCCAAAATATATGGACTATGGAGAGGACTTGGGCACATTCATATTTACCAAAAAAAAACTGATCTTGTATCTGGTTTTTGCTTTTGTTTCATTTTGTTTTCTTTTCCTTTCATCTGAAAACAAGCCACTTGGGGGGAATCTTGAGACCACCTGTAGGCACCATAACTCTGAAGTAAAGTCAACAAGTGTTTATTATCACCTCTAGGATCAAATATAAAATCCTCTGTTGGGCTTTTAAAGCCCTTCATAACCTGTACTCTCCCCTCAACATTCCAGTCTTCTTATACTTAGCACCTCTCACTGTCCAGTGACTATGGCCTCCTTGCTATACTCCACCTCACAACTACTCTAGGCATTTTCTCTGGCTTCCCCCAGACCTGGAGCCCTCTCTCTCCTTACCTCCACCTCCTGGTTTCTCTGGCTTTCTTCAAGTCTCAGCTAAAATCCCACCTTCTATGAGAAGCCTTTCCTGATCTGCAATAATTCAGGAGTATCTTCTCTCTGCAATCATATCCACTTTGCCCTCTAGATATCATGTTTGTTCATAGCTGCTTACATGTTGAATTTCCCCCACTAGACTGTCAGCACCTTGAAGGCATACTGTCTTTTGCCCCCTCTTTTTTTTGGTAGCCCCAGTACTTAGTATAGTGTCTGGCACACAGTAGGTTCTTAATAAATGCTTGTTGACTTAACTGAAAATAATTTACATCCACCTTGATGTACTACAGCAGGGCTTCTTAACTTACAGTTCACAGATTCCCCCAAGGGTCCTGTGTCTGAGATTTCATGGGGCCTATGAACTTAGATGGGGGAGGGGGAAAAATCAAATCTTTATTTTCACTACCCTGAAACTGAAATTTATCATTTCCTTCAACTGTTTAGAAACATGCTTCTAAGAAGGGGCTCCCAGGTTTCACCAGACTGTCAAAGGGGTCCATGACCAAAAACAAGGGTAAGAACCCCTGTTTTAGTCACCAATAGTTCAAATAATTTTGACCCTAATTTGCGATTTCTCATTCTTACTTTCTGCATTGCTCCTTGTCAGTGTTTACTATTCCCTGGGACATTTACTTCCCTAACGTCCTAGAAGGGGGTAACTGAATTCAAATCAGAAATCAGATTGGCCTTCAAATAAATCGCAGGTCCAAGCTTGACAAATGCAGCACAAAAATATTTAAGTCCTCACCTACGGTTGCAGAGAAGTTAGAGTAGGCAGAGTCATTGGTATATACAAAGGTAGAATTATGGGAGGTAAGCACAGTGAAGTTGTGGTTTCTTAATGCTGGGTGAGACAACAAAAAAAAGGCAGAACAGATGAGTCAAACACAGAATCAAATAGAATCAACCATATCTCTCAACATAGCAAGGAACAAACATGTTGGGGAGTAGTCTTTTCCCTTGAAAAAATGGGGACCATTTTCTTCCCAAATTCCCCCATCCCCACCACTATTTCCATCACCCCCTTTTATTTATTCTTGGGGGAAATGGACAAATAACATTATCAGTAACACCAACAATGTATAATCATCATCAATAACACTATGACAAATCCATTTCTGAAACCAGGCTATCATTGTTCCTGGATTCGTCAGTAACAGCTGGTGTTATGAGAAAGGGGATGCAATTTGTTGGTACTAGCTCCCCTAAGATTAAATAGTTGAGAGGTATGAAACTAAACTCAGCAACACAATGGCTTAAAAAAAAGAATTAGGTAATCATGATGTTATGATGACTTATGGAACAGAAATATGGGATGAAAACATTCACATGATATTATGACAAATGGACAAAACAAGAGACTTCAGCCACAACGAAAAACAGAGCTTTCTGCATGCTTACAGCATGGTTTACAGCTGACTGACATCCTCCCTACAGCAAAACACAGTGATGGATTAGGACCTCTCTGCTTCAAGGACTTGTGAGCAAACTGAAGTATTCTAACACAACAAAATTATGGGAAGAAATGGCCACTTGAAAAATTAGGTTTCTCCCCCCTCCAAAAAAATGCAGAAAAATTGTTTATAACCTAGGCATTATGGCCCTGACACCTACATTATGGATCAATCATGTTAGGTCAAGTTTTACTATGTAATTGATATGTTTGGACAGAGAGGATATAATTTAGCCAGAGAATAAATACAGAATATGGGTAATAAGCCATGTTATAAAGGCACATTGAGGACTCAAAAAAAGTCAAATTTTGCAGGTTGAATTAATAAAGTAAGGGTGGGGTGAGGAGGAAACCATATACCCAAGAATATTTAAATGTCTATTTGAAATATCTTCTGTTACTGTGTGATGGACAAAGGATTGTTTCAATAATGCCTTTCAATTTTATGTGACATTTTCCCTCTGGGCTCCTTAATGAGACCATTTAAAGAAAAATAGAATGTAAGATGGGGAATCATTTACTGTGACCTGAGCTGGACACATACCACAAAGTCCAGGGAGACCTTTTTTATTTCTACAATGCGAAATATTTTGGAGAAATGCCACGGCCAAAGAAATGAAGTCACTTGATGGTTTTTCAAGCAGGACCTTCATTACTGCCTTCTAAGTAGGCAATGTGGAGAAAATCGTCATGGTGAAGTGACCATTATGGTTCAGTCTGCCATATTCTCCATTTAAGTCACTCTTCCAGCTACTAACACTAGGATTAACAGAGCTCCTAGCCTGTAACTCAGCTGCACCTCCTTCTCTACAGGTTCTGGGGAGGAGATTTTAAAATGCTAGCTGAACTGGAAAAGAAGATTCAGAGATTTTAAATGGAACAAAATGGCACACCTGGAGAAAATGGAAGTTTGCTAGTGTAGAAAACTGAGGATTCAGCAATATTGTGCCTCCCCACCTCCAACCAAAAAAAAAAAGCTGGAAAAAAAATCCATTTCACTAGAAATAGATCGAGTCTGTCAGAAAGTCAAGGCAGACAAACAATGCAATCCTAGGTTTACACAGTAGCCCAAATGTTTAATGCATTTATGAGGAAACTGCCAATGAATTTTATTCCAAAAAAAGAATAGCACATCAAAAAAAAATGCTTTCCATTCAAAACTATCCTTATAAAAGAGGAGGGGAAATGAGAGTAATGTTGGGCTTTTTGAAACAGAGTGAGAGTGAATTTTTAATATTTTAAATTAAATTTTAATCCTTTTTTACAACAACTGAATAAAGCTATGACCAATAACTTTGGCAGACTTCATACTTTGGGAGGGATTAGGGTGGGGGGGAGGGAGAAAGGACAGAAATCTTTTATTTCAGGGCTGAAGAAGGGGATTGGTTGGTGGGGAAATAGCTTCCCTGGTTGACAAAGAACACCTGAGAAGGACTTATGGCCAGTTATTTGAGACATCAGTGAACTTAATAATGTGGCCAGTGCTTTGGCAATGCAGTTGTTTAGTCTCCATTTGGGCAGACACCTACAATAAGATACTTCTGCCTAAATAAGGAAATATAAGACAGGGCTTTTCAATGGAGACATCAATGTGAAATCTTGGACAGCTCTTTTTGTGTGTGTGGTTGTAGGCAGAGAATGATTTTAATGAGATTCTGAAGTACTTGAAACTCTTAGTCTTTGGGTCATAAAATGTCTGAAAATGCTATTAAAATGTCTCTGAAATGCAAAATTACGGGGGGAGGGGGGAAGAGTGGAGAAGCAGAGGGATGCCAAAATATTTGTTGGCAAATCCATTCCTACTACTGTGGCTTCAAAGCAAATACCGTTCACTTCTGTTTGTCCTGTTCCCTTTTAACTTACTGACAGGGACACATTCTTAGGTTTATGTCTATTGCCAAGCCCCCCTGTGAACCTCTGGGTCTACCTTCTGTTGTATCCTGAAACTCATGAATTCCATCCACGGTGTCCAGTGGCCAGTAATGAGAAGCGGATGCTAACACCTCAAACCCTTATAAAGAAAAAAAACAAACAGACCATTAGGGGAGCTGTCTTCAGGTACTTAAAGGGCTATAACATGGAAGAAGGATTAGTTTCTTCTGCATGGCCCCAGAGTGCAGAACTATCAGTCATGGCAGGGGAAGTGGCAGAGAGGCAAGTTTAGGCTGGACATCAGGAAAAATTTACTAACAATTACAGCTGTCTCCAAGTAGGCTGGGATGCTTGTGGAGATGGTGGGTCCCAACTCACCAGAGGTCTTCAAGCAAACTTTGGATGAAGAGAAAAAATACGCATACATAGACACATATGTACATGTATGTATAGAAATATATACCTACATACAGTATACACACACACACACACACACACACACATACACACACATAGAGAGAGAGAAAGCTCTATATGGTCACTCATAAGGTACATTATGCATGTTCTTTTACAGGTACAAGTTGGACTAGGTAACCACTGTGGCCATAGGATCCTAAGATCATACATTTAACATTGGAAGGGACATTAAAGATTTGCTTTGTATTTATTACCATGTGGTCTTCCCCATTAGATTGTAAGCTCCTTGAGGGCAGGGACTGTCTTTGGCCTCTTTTGTATTCCCAGTGCCTCGCATATAGTAGGTGCTTAATAAATGTTGATTGATCGGGTCTAACTCCCCTACTTTTTACAGATGAGGAAACTGAGGGTGAGAAAGATTAAATGGCTTGCCCAGGGTCACAGCTAGTAAGTATCTGAAGAGGAACCTGAACCATACTCCTTATCTATTGTGGCCTTCATTCCAACTCAAAGATTCTTTTATTCTGATAAAGGCAGAGGATAAATCAATTTTTAGACTAATCAGAAATGACAGGGTCCAAAGGTTAGAATGAACGTAGGCAGTGTCTACATTGTTCCATGTAGACACACAGAGATAAAACTAGGAATTTTGTGCCTGGGGAGATACAACAGACCTTTTTAGACTTTTTTGTGTTTCAGCTCAAAACACAAATTGGAGAAAGAGGGCATAAAAAAGGAGGTGTTTCATGTCAGTGTGCCATTTGGAAGCTTCCTATTTTTTCTCGGTCAGTCAATAAACACTTATTAAGTGACACTGAGGGTACAAAGAAAGGCAAATGGCAGTCCCTGCCCTCAAGGAGCTTACAATCTAATCAGGAAGCCAATATGCAAACTGCATACAAAACAAGTTATATACAGGATGAATTGAAAGCAATCAACAGAGGAAAGGTGCTAGAATTAAGAGGGATCAGGAACAGCTTCTTGTGGAAGGTGGGATTTTAGCTGGGACTTGGGAAAATCAAATGAGATAACATAGGAAAAGTATTACGTAAACCTTCAAGCATTCCTTAAATGTTGGCTATTGCTCTTATTGTCATCCAGGTTCTAAGTTCTGTTATTACCATGCTGCTGAAAGACTGTAAGTGGAGTCAATACCCTTGGAATTCAGCACCTTGGGATGAAGCCCCAGTCGTCCCAACATTAGTCATAGTTGTATTCCAGTAACAGAAGAATGGATCTGGCAAAGTGTGTCTACCTCTAGGTAAGGGATAGAGCGCTGAACTTGGAGTCAGGAGGACCCCAGTTCAAATCCTTCCTCTGCCACTTACTAGCCTTGTGACTTTAGGCAGGTGACTTCTCCCTCAGCCTCAGTGCTCTTATCTGGAAAAAGAGTAGGTCAAATTTAATGGCCTCCAGTCTTTTCTAGCTCCAAGTCTATGAGTGATGTCAGACAATTGCAATCTATTCAGATAATTGAGTCACGTTTCTTCCGTTTGCAGTTTAGTTGTCTGACGTGTAGACAAAGCCTCAATGCAAGTCGAGCACATAGCCCTACAAGATGAGCTGGTTACAGCAAAGTTCAGCATTGAGGTCAACCTCTAAAAAAATAGTACAACGATGCATTTGGTGTCCTGTGGATATAATTATCCTACCCCTGAAATGCTCTACAGAGACTTTGACATATAAAAGCAAACAAAAAATATGATCTACAGCTTTACCATTGCTTCCACTAACATCTTTTTTTTCTTTTTAATTTTTCAGTCCAGACCTTTGATTTCATTGGTGTAGGCTAGATGGCCTTTGGGAAATTGCAAAGTTGTTTCCATGACCCCAAGCTTCTCCTTGAAACAAAGGTCCGTCTTTTTAATGCCAATGTTCTTACAGTGTTTTTATAGGACTGTAAATCATAGGACACCATGGTGTCCAAAGAATTAAAGCTGTGGATCACCATGGAGGCAACGGACAGGTGCATGGTGGGCACAAACAGGCAGTCACATTTCACAAGTGAGAAAATGCCCACGAGAAGCGGTGTAAAGGAAATCATCAAAGAAAGGCCCAGCTAGGAGGAGGGAAAAAGATGAACTGAACAGCTACCAAGAATGAGAGATAAGAGGTGGACAGTCTAAGGGCTTTACTCATAACCAAGCAAGATCTCCTAGTACATCAGATGATACCTCCTGCGGTGAATTTATGGGAGGGCATGAACAATAATCACGTAGGATGGGCAGGCAAGTACTACTGCAATCTGTATTGTCGGAGGGAACATCCACAAGAAATGAAATCCTAAATCCACTGGATTTCCAGTAAGCAAACCAGGAGAGAACTCCTGTTGTGGAATTTCCCTCTGCTGACACAGATCAGCCACTCATCTGTAACTTAAAATTTTAAAGTTTTCCTTGTCGTTAAGAGGTTAAGTGACTTTCCCCTGGTCTTATAGCTAGTATGTGTCAGGAACAGGAACAGGTCTTCCTGATTCTAAACCTCTCTCTCTACCCACCATGCCACGCTGACTTCCTTTCAGTCAGTTACTAGGACAGCATTCATTCTGAGCAGAAAAAAAAAATGAAAAACAACCCTTGACTCTTTTTCCACTTCTCCAAATTTCATCCTGAAAGAAACATCTGAAAAACTAATATCAGTTCTGCAGTGAACAGATGCTCTACCTTCAGAATCTTCTTTCATAAAAGCAACTCTTCAGAGAATAAGGGCGAGCTGATTTCCCTAAACATCTTTCCCAGTTGCAGCAGGGTCACTCAGAGTTCCAGGTGGAAAAGCTAAGAAAAGCCAAATGTCAGAGCACTCACTCTTTCCTAGTGGCAACCTGACTCCCAGTTACCCAACATTGCCTGGAAGATGAAAAAAGGACAAAAAAAGGAAATTGCACAGCAACCGCAGGCTGCCTGGGGTTAGGAGCTGAGGATCCTCATTTGTTCTACTTCTTCCAAAATATTGGCAGTGTGAATGAAGGCAAAATATACATGTCAGATTTTTGCCCTAAGTGCCTAATTACGCCAGGAGGAAGTTGTCCCCCATGCCTGCTGGAATGTTTGCCCCTTCAACCCTGCCTCTTGATCTCTCTTGCTTGCTTCAACACAGTTCCAATTCCACCTTCTTCAGGGGGTCTTTCCCAGTCTCCTCAGCTGCTAGTGCTTTCACCTCTGAGATTACCTTGCATCTTTTCTGCATCTATCTTATCGTTGTTGTTTAGTTGATTTTTAGTCATGTCCAGTTTTTGTGACCCCATTTGGGGTTTTCTTGGCAAAGATACTGGAGTAGTTTGCCATCTCTTTTTCCAGCTTATTTTACAGATGAGGAAACTGAGGCAAAAAAGGCTAAGTGACTTGCTCAGGGTCACACAGCTAATAAGTGTCTGAGGCCAGATTTGAACTCATGAAGAGTCTTGCTAACTCCAGGTCTGGTGCTCTATCTACTGTGCCACCTAGCTGCCCATCTTTCTTATATATGTTCTATTATTTACATGTTGTCTCCACCATTAGAAGGTAAGCCCCTTTGAGGATAGGAATTGTTTTTGCCTTTCTTTCTAGCACAGTGCTAGGCACATAGCAAGCATTTAATTAATGTTTTTGATTGATTGATTGATTTGAGAAATGGTGGAGTTGATCACATATGCTAGAAGAATAAGCAAACAGATGTATGACAAAATGTCTCCTGAGGATTAAAAAACAGAGGCATTCAAAGTTCTTCCAGCTGCAGAAGGCAATCTGTCTGCATCAATCATAAACCAGTCCCTGCAGAGAGGTCCCATGTAGTCTATTCAAAGAATGGTCCCCTCTTTCTTCACCTAGATAAATGTATACACATCCTCATCCATGAACTGGATGACTATACGGACAATTATCTGATTAATTCAGTTTTTAAGGTTCTCCTTTTCTGAAAGGATCGCAGTGTTTTCGATTTTGATAAAAGTAGACATATATGAACCCTAGTCTTCACCACTCTTGCAACAATGCAGAATCACTCAGACCATGCTATCTAAGCAAAAATACGTCAGGCTGTAGAGAACAGAGAGAGGGCTGGCCTTGGAGCCAAGGACACCTACGTGCTGCCTCAGATGCTTAACTGGCCATGCAGTCCTGCACAAGTCATTTAGCCTGAGACTCAGTTTCTTCATCTGTCAAATAGGGATAATAATAGCACTTATGTCATTGAGTTGTTATGAGGTTCAAATGACATAATGGATGTACGTTTTTCAAACCATATTGAATAAATGTGAGCTATTATTATTACTAATATATGCTATTATACTATACTATTAAAATGAGATGCTAGGAAGAGGCTCAGTGGCCATCCTGTTTCAACCTTTCTAGAAAGGAAAAGTGGTTGTCATTAAAACAATTGCCTTTCTTTGTGGGTGTATTCACCTAAGGGTAGAGGGTCAATTGAATCCATAAATAAATCACTCCCATTCCACTTAAAACTTACAAAATATTCTAGCCCTCATATCTGAATCAGGTAAGAACATCTCTATTGAACCAAGTAATCAATTAAAAGCATTAAAGGAGAGGTGAAAAATCTTCAATCGATTTAGAAGACGTGAAAGTCATTGGATTAAATTGAATGAGCTGTACAGGAAGTGTATTGGAATTGGCTTAAGAGATGCATCTACATCTAGTGAGCCTTTACATAAAATAGTAAGCCAGTTCAGAATCTAAGCATCTGAAGGTTTGCCATCCAACCGAACCTCTGAGAGGGAGTCATATG